TATTAATTACATGACTCTTCCATCACGAATATTACGTACTTATATAGGAATTTTCGTAACTGCTCGTTAAGCTGATTTGATAAATATTACTGTATGTACAGTTTATTAGTTGAAAAACTCAATGTCAATCTAAAATATAGTAGAATAAAATGGAAAATTCTTTATTGATATAAACTTAAAATTAAGCTACCGCTCATGCGGTAAAGTGTCTCATCACAAGAAAAACGAAAAGAACTTGATAAAATGCTCATTTAAAAAAGTTTTTAATTTTAAGTTACAAAACTTACGATTTTTAATTGGAAATATGTGAATACAAAGTTTGTATTCACACGTGAATTAGTGCTCGTACACAAGCATAACGGTAGAGCCAGCCACTGCATTCGACCACCACAACATCAAATAAAAATTGTTATTATTATTATTATTAACCCATTACATAATTAAACTGCAGTTTATTTCGTACATCAAATTAATCATTATGTAAATATATATATAGCATTTACAATGAAGTATATGCATATTATCCACAGAATATCCTATTATATTTTAACGTCATTTTTATCGTCGTAAAGAGAATGTTGTTTTGTGTTCACAAAATTTAGCTTTTATAATCTCACGTTTAACGATTGTATTCGTGTTTTATATTATATATATATATATATAAATTTAATTCTTTATATACCTGTACTATATGTATATACTACTACTAAATTGAGGTATATATCTTGTATGCCCAAGTTAGATAGTAGAACCACAGACAAGATAATATTACCTTATATTAGTAGAACCTTTGCACATCCTAATCATTACATAGTATAAAAAAGTCGCTGTCGCTGTTTGTCCTTCCCTATGTATAGGTACTTAAATCTTTAAAACTACGCAACGGATTTAAAAGCAGTTTTTTTTTAATAGATAGAGTGATTCAAGAGGAAGGTATATATATGTAATACATGTACTCGTGATAAACCGGGACGAGTAGCTAGTACAGAAAATAGTGTACATGTTATTAGATCTAATATCGACAATAATAACACAGATACTATTGAGTACTTACTAATAATATGAAAATGGTTAACCATATGTAACCATTTTCTATAGTTTCGGAGCTTATTCAATGCAAACAAACAAACAAATTCTTCCTCTTTACAATATCTAAAAGTTAAAATAATACTTATTGTTATTAGTTTAGCGTAAAAAACTTCGCATGCAAATCACGAATTTAATATAAAAATACCTACAGCTTCTAAATACAGATTATATTCGCAAAAACACAAAGGAAATTTTAATTTCCTGCTGTTATTATCTGTTCACTTATCCTAATAGGTAACATATCAATCTACCCAATTTCGTTTGATTTAACATTGAACAAATCAATTTGACAAAGAAATTAAATCTGTTTGTGATATGAATATAAAGTGGTAAATGGTTTTAATCGCGTGTTATGTCGCGCCGTAAACCCATAAAAGTCTTGAAACGATGTTATTTTTCATTGTTTTTTTTTTAATCTTATGAATTTATGCTATATTGAAACTAAATATTACGTAAAAATGTAAATAATATTTAAAAATGAAAATTAATTTTTCTTCTTACTAAACTACATAGGTATGATAACAAAAGTGCTAAAAATTATGTTTATTTGAATAAAGATATATGTAGAGATCAAATATTTTTGTAGACAAAACTTAAAATTCATAGCGCTGACAATATTATCCAACTGCACTAAGGATGAATACGTAGCGGTAGCGGCATAACGTAGTTCTATATTGATTATTTATCGAATGCCTCTTACTTGTTATTGTGTAATTACTTATTTTAAATAACATCTGTTCAAAAGAGAAATTTCTTATAAATTTCTTCCTCATTCTTCTTGTCATAAATCTGCGTTCCGAACGAGTGGTAGAATAAAAAACATGACTATTCAAAAGTGCTTATATTGAGTTTATTTGAATAAAGATTTATGCTGTATTAAAATACAATAATTGTCGAATACATTTAATATGTTACGAAAATAGGTTCGTGTTTTCTACAATTTCAATCAACAGCTCAGATGAATAATAAATATGACGTTGGCCTTTAAAAGGTATCTATTATATTACAATTATTTCTATTTCTATTTCAAAAACATAAATACTGCTATGTGAGTAATTTAAACTGATATCTTTTGTATAAGAATTTTCATCAAAACATTACTAGTTTATGAAGAATTTTGGACAATTGTGGAGAAAAATGAGCTTGACCATGCTTATCACTACCCCCTTCTGTAATAACAGTCTTGATGGTACCTATGTTATTGTTATAAAACAATATACCAGGTGCGTAGCTACCGCCGTAGAAGAAAAAAGTTACAGATAGACAATTATGATGCAGTGGCGAAAAAAAAATGTCGTTCGCATCACACACTTTCACGAAGGACAAAGGGACTCGCAAAAACCTACCGCCCGGGGCCTCGCAATGGGAAACGCCGAAATCTTTACCCTTCGTAAGGCAAATAAATTTCTGATAACAACCTGTAATGCATAGATACCGTAACAACGATACAGTGATGGACAGCCAATATCCTCTGATTACTCAGGTCATCCATAACGTTCTCATTAATCTCGAGATATCATTCTGTAGTGATGGATGGATAGATAATTAACACAATTCATAGATTAATAACGCAAATGTGACAACATCTAAACGTATTAACCTCTATCCTATCCATCATAGCTATATAGCTTCTGATATGTTACTATTACACTAATACATTCTCTCTTATTTATCCTTACTAATATTATAAATGTGAAAGTAAGGATGTTTGTTCCGCTTTCACGAAAAAACTACTGAGCCGATCATCATGAAATTTTGTACACATGTTCTTGGAGGTATTAGAATGAACATAGGATGCTTTTTATTTAAAAAAAAACAATATTTTTTTAGTTATTGGATTCAATGCTTTTTATATATAAAAAATAACAATAAAATTTTTTAGTTATCCTATGGGGATTCAATACCGTACCTAATAGGTGGTCCTCAACCGATCCAGAAAAGCTTTACCGGGAATAAAATGGTATTTCATGAATGTTACGAAAATTATATAGAAAAGAGCTTATTCATAACATGTTTCTCGTCGTCAAATTACAAAAAAAATACTCGAAAAAAAGAACAAAACAGTTCAATGTTCAAAAAAGTTAATGGATCACCATACGTAACTCACTAACAGGAATGTGAAGTAACAACTTGAACATAATATTTGGAAAATACTTAAATACAAAAAATTATATAAAAAACAAAGATGAACAATACAATCGAGTATTTTATTTTTAACCTACTACCCTTTGGTAGTAGGTTAAAAATAAACGTGCGGGTTATATCGGAAACAGAATTTCGAAAATAATAAAGCAAATCTTTGAATAGGCATGTTTGAGTTTATTTTTCCGTATCTCAATACTTATTTGTATTTATCTATTTTCGCTCTTCTTTTATGCAAATAGATTGAAAATGGCGGGCATATGAAAGCAGTGTCCGCTTTGCGACGTCCCCGCATTTCCGCTCTTGGCTACAGCACAGGTGACAACAGCGGATATTGAAACCACACACACTTCAAGTCGGGTTGATAGCTGCTACTAGGTATTCTGACTACTTTATCAATAGCGTCGGATTGAAAACTTTGATATCTCTATAATAATATTTAGTGATGTGAATACAATTCGAAATTTTAAAAATATACAATTTTTTTTTCTTCTTAACAAATGTTACATCTACTTATAACCGGGGAATGGTACCTAACTACAAAATGGATTCAACTTAATAAGACTTACAAATCTCAAGGTTCTGTATCTCTTTTAAAACCATTTTATTATGACATAGATTTAATTTCAGTTTATAGTCGGGGCCGTTAAATGTGCGATGTTAATTACTCTGTGGAAAAAAACAAGTGTACTTGTTTGTACCGAGACCTTAACTTGTCCAATAAAGGGAAAAATTTAACCAAAAAAAATTAAGTTAGAAAGAATGTGGTTTAAAAATAGAGGGCACTTACATATTTCTGTCTACCTTATAAAAGAGCTGGCGTAAAGATAAACATTACATGATGTGGGTAGAAATATCAATCACAGAGTTCAGATTCACTAAAAGACCGAGCGGTCGCCACAATGGGAGTCGTAAAAGTGATAAAGAAAAATGGATTTTATTCGATTGCGATACATCAGTGTCGGGAGAGGCAACTTCGACCTCGGATGTCCAATGAAAAATCAATTCGTCAATTCATATAACAACGTAAATGGAAAGTTATTCTTATTACGTTACAGTCTAACCGTTTATGTAGGTATCTAACAAACTTACCTATCTACTTTTTCCCAGTTTCCCCTCGGTTGCTCATAACGTTGTGTGTTTCATAATAAATGAATATATAGCCTATGTCATTCTGGATTAATGTGTAACAAAATTCTCTCTGTAACTTTTTTTAATTGATGATAATGGAATGGTGCATTCGCCTGCGCCAACGGTTTACGCTGGCTACCAGTGGAGGACGATAAGATGAGCATAAGGTCAGCTAATTTATACATCATCATGACAAATTCACCAGGAATTTATAATTATGGTTTCCAGGGGGACCCTCGTGGAGGTCAGCCTTACATGTACCTCCATAAAATATAACAAATAATTAGGCAGTACTATAATATTTCACCGCTATCTGAAACTTCAAGAGCAATGAAACAAATAAAGCAGAGGCACCTCACTATTTATTGCATACAATGCTACAGTGGTGAAATGATTACCCATTATACTATACTATAATCATTTTCTTTACATTATTAAGTTATTTGCTATGAAAATTTAAGCTAGGTCGGGTAAATTTTAATAATAAAAATGTATGAAAACTACAACTGCGCTATCATTACATTCGTATTTTTAAATGTGAAATTTTGACGCTCTCTGAAATAGGCGTCGACGCTACTGTCAGTTAAATCAGTCAGTTTGACAATATACTGACATCATGACTTAGAATTAAAAAACAGCTGTTTTTTTTGTTGACAATTCTATTCACTGTTTGTTTTAATCTAATTTAATATAATAACAGTATACTTCTATCCTAATTCAATTTCACTTTATTTAAAACTAAGTGTATGATTTTTCTAAATAATCATATAGTTATTTCTATGAATAATATTTGGCAAGGTGGAATTGTTTTCTTTCTATAACCTTAAGAAATTCTTACATACTATAATGTTGTTTATTATTAAATTGCTATAATACGAATTCAACATATCTTCCAGCCTCTTTTGGCGTTATTAGAAGGATGTCAACGACTGGGCCTGTACACAGCACTATTTTAAATAAACTGCAGTCTGCATTGAGTGCATGTCACTTGAATGTTATAAATGAATCTTACATGCATAATGTGCCAAAAGGTGCAGAAACACACTTCAAAGTTGTCGTTGTATCAGATAAATTCGACGGCTTACCACTAATTAAGGTAAGATTTGAGTCGATGATATGGTGCTCGCACTGACTATACTCACAAGTAAAGGATGTATTTATTAAATTTTTTTATTGAGGGGTTTGGGTTATTGTTGTGATCTGCAGCACAGCCACTACATGGCTCTATTGTGCTTCCCCTTTTTTTAAAATTCACTACCTAAACACATTGATTGGATTGAAGGATAATCTTAGGAGCAATGGTTTTTATCTCCTCAGGATATAGTGTATACTTTTCAAAGGAGATATTTCATTTGTGCATCAGTGGGCTACCACCACATAATGTGTGTAGTTGCGTTTCCTCTTTAGCTTTGCAAAATTTGCAGAAATAGGATGCAGTTGGGTGACTTAGCTAACAACAATTATAAGAATAACCCAAGACAATATTAAAATTGCTATCTTGTCCCACAGTAAACAACTTACAAATACCTATATATATATGTATATTTTACAAATGCATAATATTCATAAAAACAATACTCATATAATTTCCATCAGAAATAAATTAAATTAAGTCTTGTAAGGTCAAAAAGTACAAGTCAGATTTTGGATTACTTTGAATTTGTGTAATTTATTTAAACATTATAGGCTCTGATTACTAAATAACCTCTGTATACTATTACTTTGGGTTATCTGTATAATTTTGCAGTAAGTCTTGTTCTTTTATGTTTTTTTAATTGCAGAGACATAGACTGGTAAATGATATATTGAAAGAAGAACTACAAACAGGAGTTCATGCTCTATCAATTGTGGCTAAAACACCCCAACAGTGGGAAGAGAGCGACAAAGTTGTAGAAAGCAGTCCTAATTGTAAGGGTGGCTTTGGAAAATAGTGTAAATGAAAACAGAAGCAGAGAATAGTATATATGACAATTGAAAACACTACATAATAATAGTTTACTCAATTATAGCGAATATTGTATATTTTATTAGTTCCTAGATTTATTTTTAAAGAATTATAATTATAATCTTGATGACTGATTTTTTTTTTAGTCCATATTGGTATATATAAAAATCATATATAGGTAGGTATATATGATTTTATCCTTGGAAAATGTGCTGATACTCAACTTATATTCATTTTCGTTGATATGTTGTTGTTGTTGACATATGCATGTGATAGCATTATCTTATGATGCAAACTAGTCAGTCTTTATATGACTGATGTAGCTGATTTTTAATTTATATGTAACATATATTCTGTGTGCTGCTTACTTGAAACATGTATTTAAATATGAACATTCATAATTCATGTATTTATTGGTCATATGATAATTTATGACTCATAAACAAAGCCACATAATATTAGTGAAAATATTATGTCACTATAATTTGGACCTACTTAGTATCAAAATTAGAAGTTCATTCGAACTTATAGAAAATGTTATTTAAAAATAAAACTAAAGACAAATATATTTTACATATAGTTTAATTATTTCACATAATTATTGTAAATTCAATCATATTTTCATACATTCCTTTTCATAATATAATTTGTATGCAATTCATTACAAATATAAAGATGCTTATATTATTTCTTCAAATACTCTACAAAACACAGCACTCACCCATATGATTCACCTGTTAGTAAACTGTGACATATATATACCAGGGCTGGCATATGGCGAAATTTCTTTTATATATATATGTACATATATTTGTAATTATATCTTCTTTACATACTAATGAAATGTATAGTATATTAACATCTATGAATACACAATACTTCAAGTTATTCTAGTAAAGAAAAATATGTTTTAATTACGTATTTGCATCGCCATTTTCTTTCATATTACGCGAATTTTAATCCTCCGTACACGGACATTCCCCCATATAACGTGGAGATCTGACACATTATATTTCTGTACAGTGAAATTTATAATGATTTGTTTTGTTGTTTAATATAGTTCATATGCAGAAGTTTTTTTATTTAGAATGTTCATAGTTGTTTTTATTTTAACAGAAAAACGTCAATTTCGTTCTTAATAAAATTTAAATTTTGCCAGATTTGTATAAAAACTAAAAGGCACAAGACAAATAACTTACATTAGATGACCTGCGCATTCTAACGCAAAATGTATTGGACAGAACTTTTCTGTAATTCTACAATAATCTGTGGCAACAATTCGCCAGCATACTAGTTAGTATAAAACTATATACATATGGACGACTAATCGGAAGTAAAAAATATAGAAAATACATACATAATATATATAGAAAATACACCGATACAAACTCATTCATGAATACAAATGTTTGTACCGTGCGAGGAATCGAGCCCGCAGATGAGGCGGTGTGCTAAACCGCTAGGCTACAGAGGGCGTCAAAAATAGTTCATTAACTTATTATAACCATATTTTCCCCGCACGATAAATAGTCATTTTATATACCAGAGAGAGATTTTCACGTTTACACAACGATTCCATATATTTCACATAAACATAACTTTTAAAGTCTCAATCACACATTTCACACCGTCTAGCGGTGTTAGTTGTATCAGAGATTGAAGTTATCCAGTCGTAACTTCCCCTCGTTCTCTGTGAGGTACAATAGGTCTGCCATAGTCTGTTCGCATATCGCCTCCTCCGCTTTTTCTGACATCTGCAAAACATAATTACATGTAATGGAACATATTTTACATATAACTGGTTCCTTTAGCATAAATAAAAAGATTGCCCTCAAATTTTGCACACAAGTCTTGCTAAGTAAAATTTTATGACTTGTTTTAGACATATGTTTTAATTCTGGAGAATTGACTAGATCATTTCATATATAAATTATAGTACATTCAAAAATAATTGTTTTTATCAAACAATATTAAAAAGAGGAGAATTCCAGATTTGGCAATTCTCTTGTATGGTTATTCTCAAATTGTATGTCATGTTTTTTCCAACAAGATATTCAAAGTTCGAAAAAAAATATTTCTATCTCCTTCAGATCTGAGATTTGATTCTTTTAGTTTGATTAAATTTTTATTCTTTGTACTAAAGCCAACTTGCAGGCATACATACTACTACCGTACCACTTAATCACTAAAATTACCTTACCAGACTCTTGGTAGTCTGCGGTACCTCAATTGCAAGATATTTCAACCGCCGAGCAGCTTACCGCTGCTGTATTTTGGTTGTAGGGTTCTATTAGGCAATGAAATCATAGAGTAAGAGGCATCTTCATAGTCCTCTAGAATAGTAGCGGATGTATGGTATCACAGGCGAAGTAACGTGACGGAGTAGTGCTGTTTGTGTATATAAACGATGGTTACCACTTACCATCAGGTCGTCAGCATGTGTACCATTCCACTTACATAAATAAAAATATAGTTACTTACTGGTCTGTATTTATGGTCGACGTTGGGAGCGTACTTGAAGTTAGGCCCAAAGTTTACACTCACTGTTACATTTTTATGTAAGGATACAGATGGGTAGTAGCAACCCTGGTAAATATCCAGGAATGCCTCGCCTTGACACTCGCCATTCTTGAAGTAATATATTTTACTGCCAGGTAGAGATTTCAGATTGTTCAGAGATTCTTGTATGTTATCCTTATCTTCATAGTAGAGATGACTTTTGAATTTGACTAGAGGCTGTGAATATAAACAATATTCAATTAAGTTTTCGAAAATATAAATCATAATATTAATACGTGAAGTTTGCAAATACTTTGTATTTCTTTTTACGAAAATTATACAGAACTCTTCCGAGTTTGAAATTTAAAATAGTATACCATACACATGGAAAAAGAGTGCAGAACTAATATAATTTTTATAATAATGTGTATAATGCATATGCGTTTGTCACACACATTTATATACACAAATATGAGTACATATTCTCTTGTTTAATATTTTTAACAACAGAACTTTTAATATCTAACGTTCAAACATACATCTTAAAAGTATAATAGAATTAGAATTTTACCATAATAGTTTTTTTAATTACTAGGCGACTCTAAATAGACATACAGACATACATATCCTCACGACTTCATTCCAAATGTGGTAGTCAGTATCAAGTGTGTACACTTATCGGCCTCGTAAAAACAAAAGATACTGTTATATTTATGGACATTTATTGTGAAAGTGAATTTGTTTGTTTGTTAGATTTGGTCTCTTTCGCCAGCTGTGTCTCGGTAGAATGGTAACGCAACTCCGAGATTTTGGCAATTACGGATCGGAAATACTCTTTAGTTAAAAAGTCTGTTAGGGTAAAAATCACAAATACATTTGTATTGGTTTCAAACACGTCTAAACGTGTAATTTTTTTAACACAGGAATATTAACATTTACGTTATTACTCACTCTGTCTTTGTACGTGTTTGGTGTAAATTTAGTAGTCACACTGTCAGGCAGAACAATGAGAAAACCGAGAGTGTCGCCTTCACCGTATCCGTTGCTGTAATGTTTACCACGAGATTCATGGAACCTGAAAAAAAAACATTTTTATAGAGTAGGGACTAGGCAAACTTAAACAAAAATCTATTATTTTGCAGATTTTTTTTGTAAAGAAACAAGAATACACTCTGCAAAAAATCATATTTTTAATACATCTATTCAGAAACAGCAATTTGCTTTAAATTTGCAACTTTTGCACAAATACTAAAATAGGTTTGCAATTATCCTACGAAACTATCCCTTTACAGCATTATCATAGAAATAGAAATAATTCAAATGACAAATAATTTAGCCAAAAATCGTTTAGTCAAATTTCATTCTGACGATATATTATATATACTTTATTATACATTTAAAATTTTAGAAAGGCATGGCAAAAGGTTGGGGTAACACTGGTATAGACTCATGATAATACCTGGTTCCCTTGCGGCTGCGCCAGCTGTAACCAAACTTGTCGTATCCGAGTGGCGCCTGGAGGTTCGCATAGCGTCGTCCCCAGCCGAGCCTCGTGGCCGCGCCCTCGGGCATCTCCTCCACAGATGCCTCCCAGTACCACGAACCGCGAGACACACCTGCAACCCGGCGAGGATAGAATCTTAATTAATTATGATGATGATGACGAAAGCGTGATCCCGTTTACGTTTACATTGTACTGACGAGACCCAGTGAGGGATGAGACTGATCACTTAGTATCGTGATCAACTCGCCAGGAATTAAGCAGGAATCGCTTAAGCGATATGATTGCTTTTGTACCTTCTACATTGTAGATTATATTCTTTGTTCGACGGCGTCGGTGGTCGGCTTAGCACACCGCTTTATTTCCGATGATCGTGTGTTCGATTCCTCGCACGGTACAACCATTTTTATTCATGAGTATGATTGTTGTAACGGTCTGGGTGTTTTCTATGTATGTTATGTATATATTTACAAAAAAAATCTCTACTTATCATGAGACTAAATGGCATTGTGTTAATTGTCCAGGGTTATTTATTATTTGTTATATATTTCTGGTACAATAAGTTAATAAATAAATAACCTTGGTTGCTTCTTAGATTGACACTGTTGAAATTGATCTGATAATGTAGAAGAGTTTCTTGTATGCTTTCATTGTTAATTACAGAGTATTAAAGATCACGCTATGACCCTTAGGAACTCAGTAAAAAAATAGTCAGGAAAAGTTAGTAGCGCTTGCGAGTAATGCGTTTCAAAGGGTTACCACCAAATTTTAGGGTTTTTTTTGTATGCTAAACTCTTGCGGGGCAACCCAATGTAAATCGTAAATCTAAGTCCTTGGGACGTTAGTAACATTTAAGCAACTTGGCGACTGATTCACTGTATATCAGGAGCCTAAATCAAACAAAACAACTAACCATGTGTAGCCCGGACCATACAGTATCCCTTCTCCCCCGTAACTGCAAGCCTGTCTTCGGATATCTTCAACTGTGGTGCTCTATCGTGTAATGCCAACAACACTACACCCGGACAAAGCGACCGGTACAACCAGCCGGGTATGGGTTTTCCGCTCCATTCGTTACTCTCGTCGAATTCCTAAAAAATATAATTATACGGCCGTTACAGAGTATGTTTTTTTATTTGATCAATAAAATGTGGACTAAATGCTATAGCATTCTCTTCCAGATAGTGTAGTCAATGGCTTGTTAATTGCAGATGTGGTGAACGCAACAATTGACATGCCTATATTTGCATTATTAACCAATAAAATATAGTACACAAGGTGAACTTAATGCTAAAGCAATATAGCATTAAGTCCACCTCGCACCCTGCAGATATCGTGACATGCCTAACATAAGCATCACTCGGTACGTTTTTAATACAACGTGGCAAGGGTAAGCCTATCGCCGGCTCTTGGAATAATTTTTGGTTTCGATATCGGTGTTTCCATCACCGGGTCATTAAAAATATGAACTGACAAAAAAATTACCGGCTACATTGACAAACAAAGTTTTTGGGCGTAATTTAGGGTAGTAACCTACAACGCTAAATTATTGTTACAAGTATAAAAAAATAAAAACATGATAATTCCGTGAAACCTTTTTCTTTCTAGCCGGTTAATAATTACCTGTCTAAATGGCGCGTGTGGATCAGGCTCCGCCAGTATATATCTGTAGCCATCTTTATTGAAGGGATGTTCCGTGGGGTATCCGTGTGAGGGTAGTTTGAGTGCACCGATCTCGTTGCCGCGGCCCTTCTTGCCGACCGGAGCGCTAGCGTCCGCCGCGCCCGTCACGGCGGGCCGGCGCTTCCCCTGTCGCCCCTTTACATTTCCAGCTAATGGAACTGAAATATGAAAAAGTAATTGAAAGCCTCTTGAAATGATAGCTAACCTGATGGAAAATGATAAATTGCTTATAATAAAAAAAAAACAAAACATTATGTGTTAAAAAATGTTATAATATTAATAATAATAGTTCAAGACAATTCACACAGCGCCATCTAATACCAAACTAAACAGAGCTTGTGTTATGGATACTAGACAACTGATACAAATGTTATACATTTTTTTTTAATACATACACAATTTACATAGTAAACACCCAGTTCGATACGACATAATAATGTTTGCGACAGTCCCAGGACTCGAAGCCACGACCACCGGAAGTAAAGCGATGTGCTAAACCGCTAGAACACCGAGGCCGTCAAATAGTGAGGCAGTCATAAAAAAATATATTACATATGCTGAATACTGGAAAAAGCATTGTTTTTTATCTCGCTGTCAGCAGAAAATTAGAATAGTCCGAAAAAAAACGTACTTCTTACGGGTTACGTCGGTAAACGAATACAATGTGACGACAAGAGTAATTAAATTTTTTAGTACGTCCTCATGAACTATTAAATTGGAAACCAGTCCTTTTTATTTGCAAATTCATCACATTACTACATCATTCATAAGTCAGTAAGTGACACTTTTATATAAAAAACCAAATAGCTATCACTAGTACCTAACAAAAAATACACAATTCACGATTTGGATCTGAATGAAGCACAAACAACTAACAAGGTATGGAGTGTAAGTTTTTTAATGTACTCGTATGATAATGACATGGTACACATGCTTGCGCTAACGGTATACACTAGCGGATCACCAGTGGGCGAAGATAGAATGATGAGAATAATTCTCAGGTCTCAGGTCAGTTAATTCACCCGGAATTCACTACGATCGTTTCCAGGGTACGATCACGTTGTATTTGACAATGCTACTAAATTTATTATACTACAATTCATTCGGAACGCGACTCTTCATAATAAGAATGAGCAAAAACTTGCATGTTGCTCTTTTAAAGAAATGTAGTACACAATTACATTTTTAATAATTTTGTGCGAATACAAACTGTCAAATAGAAAGACAGAAATAAATAATTAGTGACTTGAGTAACAAAATAAATCAGTCGTAGTTATCGAAACAGACCAGTCGTCACTCATCCCTACAGCAATGGGGTCACTACTCATTTCTAACAGTCTCACTAGAATGTAACGCGAATTATAGAGATAACATTTTTCTGTAACTGCAAAGGCAAACTCACCTGATGGAAAAAATATAGCACAACTAGATGCATACATGAGTACACAATAAAAATAAGATTTATTGAAAAGAATTTCAATATTACTAATTATTGTTTTCACAATTTTATGTGTCAAACTTATATAAGATTTTAAATTCTTTTTTATCATATTATATGTCAAATGGACATAGTTTATGAAATAGTATGGATGTGTAATGTTTCTAACCTTTACTTTTAACTACAAGCGGTAGATTAATTAGGTAATTATTAGATTACTGCATGGTATACGTATTACCTATGTATACATATGTATATACGACTAGCTGTTGCGAAATCGTCGGCTTTCTGAGATAGTATAAAGTAAAATTTAATTATATTCAGCCTTTTAGTCACAATTTTTTTATATACTACGACGGTGGCAATCACGCATAAGACCCATCTGATGGTAAATGGTTACCGTAGTCTCTGGACGCCTGAAACACCACGTGCGCGTTGCCGAGCCTTATATGCTGGCGGGGCTGTTTATACCGACAGCATATGCTGTTTCACCATTATAATTATCATTAATTTTGTTTCTATCTATTCATAAAAACAACTAGGTAGGTGGATACATACTATTTTTTTAAAGTCATAAGTTCAAATTTGAAAATTTATTCAATATCTATTTGCATGACTTACCAGCTTTTTCAATATCCCATTGTTAAGAGCAAACGCATAATATTGCTAGTTAACATTGTGAATAATAATGAAAATCTATACGTCGTTCTGTCTCAAACAAGAACTGACGCCAAATTCAGCATTAAAAACTTTTTATTTCTTTCCTTTAAATATTTTAGGGGTAATTCCAGCATTAGCTCTCCAGAAATTGAAGAAAATGTCTCGATATTTGTAAGAGAAAAAGGATCATCCAGTAAGGGAGATTACGTACTAGACCTCATTACATAAATAAAAAAAGTAACCCTGGACAATTAACACAGCGCCATCTAATCCTACGGTAAGCAGAGCTTGTGTTATATATATAGGTACTAGATAACTGATACAAAGACTTAGATATTTTTTTTATAAATACATACATAATATACATAGAAAATACCCAGACCGATACAAACAATCATACTTGAAGAAATTGAACTCGCCACCATCGCAAGTAAACCGGTGTGCTAAACCGCTAGACCATCGACGCCATCGATTACTAGTAATGTAGGTTATATTACTAGTAGTTAGGAGAATCTCTACACTGTACCACTTGGAGACAATCATTATTAATTGGTCCTGACTAGGGAAAAAGGATTTTTAGTAATGTAAAATAATCACTCCATCGCTAGCAATGTAACAAGTCAGACTTTTTTTCATATACTACTATAGTGGCAAATAAGCATACAGCCCATCTGATAGTAAATGGTTACCGTAGTCTATGGACGCCTGAAACATCAGAGGTATTACGGGCGCGTTGCCACGCTGTTCCCCTGGAAACTATCGTGATAAATTCCTCAATCTGTTACAATGGGCTAAGTGACCTGACCTCATATTCATTCTATCCTCACTGGTACCCCGCCAGCATAAATCAATAGCGCAGACGGGTGCATCATTCCACAATCATCCATAGAAAAAAAATTGTCATGACTGCCTAATGACCTGAGTTTGTTATCACCACCTTTGTCTGGTAGTCCGCCCGCGTATACCGTTAATGCAGGCTCTCTATTACATCATTAACTTAAAAAATGTGCTGGATGCAGTCAGTGAATGTAGATGAATCAGATCTTGCTTACATTTACCAGTGGAAAGTGAGTGATAATACAACAATAATAAAAACATATTTAGCGGTCAACAGAATAAATAAATACCTATATTAAATGTAGTGTGACATCGCGACATAGCCCGAAATCTTAAATTTCAGTAGGCAGGCATTTACCTACTTATTACGTAATACGCCAGACTGAATATCACTTTACGGGGAGGCCTCTACAAAACACTGTGGAACCAGAAATAACTCAATAAATAAACAAATTAAAATATTATTACTATCGCTAACTACGCCGGCTCTCTAAAATTTTTGATTAACACAATAACTAGAACATAAATCGCATGTTAAATTTTCATGTTTACAAATTATCCTGTACGTGCTATGAGTCATTGTAGTATATTTCTATAATATGACGTGTTCTAATACTAATATTTAAACACAAAATGTAGGTACCTATATTCTGCAAGTAGCTAGATTGGTTCCACATCATTAACTACGAGATGTCAACAGAGGATATAAAAACGTGAGTACAATAACAAATGTCCAATAAACGTTACAAGTTCTATCAAAACTTACAATCCATGACGAATATATCACACCGATATGTGGACAGACTGACTGACTGTAATTCTTATTTGGTACAAGCACACTGATAAGATAATAATAGGACGTAACATGTCGAATAATTACATATACATACTTTACAACTATACGTTGAGAACTCGGTATCTTATACTTCCATTACTGTATATGTAGATAGAGTAAATTTAATTAATATATAATTATACTGTTTATATTACAGATAGCGACGTACATAGAGCAAAGAGTAACGAAGAATGAATGTTGCTTACCAGACATAAAGTTCAAGGTCGCTAAACAATTTAAATCTAAAATCAATATAAGAGTAAACGTATACGCGACGCCTATGTGGGTCTTATCGAAGAAATAAACCGACAACACAGTATAGTGGGATATGTGTGCGCTCACGTACACATGTGTAGTGGAAACAATGTCGTTATTGTGAGTTGTGGCCGCGTCTGTACTACGTAGTCTAGAACTTTATGTGCACTAGTACATTGGTTTTTCATTGGGCCGCCTCCAGTGCGGGTCAATCGTTACGCCAGTCGTTCGTGTCCAAGTGGCAATTAAAGTGATGGTATTTTACTTTGTAACTCGAACAAACATTGTAATAATTTCATTACTCTTTTTTTTAATGAAATAACTTTTCTATTTTCAATTACTTACCTTATTCATTAATCAATTACATTTAAAGTAGTAAAAGTCCTTAACTATAATTGAGAAGACGGATCATATTATTGGAAATTGTTATTGAATATTTAACAACATTATCTAGCTACTATAAAAACTATATGTTATGATTCTTTACAAATTACATGTAAATAATTACATATTTTTGGAGATATCTTAATATTTGTTTACGCATTGTAGTGACGGGCCGCATAGTTTTTATTTATATTTTTACGACTTTAGACTTATATTTTGTATTTAGAACATATAAACCAATTAACAAAGACCTTTATGCTTTATCCGATTTCATTCAAAGGGTCAAATCAGAGTGTCACGAATAATTGACCTATTTTGAATACACAGATAAATAACCAGAACTAATGCATAATTATAGAAATTTGTTCAGAGACAAAACATTGTTTTCATTCGAAACGTTTCCCGTGATCTCCTTTCTGCATGAAAGGATTCTTCTTCTAAATGACCAGAACAACATACCTTCGCAATCTTTTTCACTTCACATCTTTAATAAGAAATATATATAATTAGCAGAATTAGGTACTTCAGCAAAGAGAATTTTTATACTATTGACTTGTAGTTGTTGTAACACCCCATTAGATGGCGCTACGGACACTTTTTCAAACAATGTCTATAAACATCAAATAACAACATATAATTCTATATCGTCAAATTATCCTAACAATCGTATAAATAAAATATATATACTCATATATTGTATAAACGCGATAAAAGGTAACAAATACTATACATATATCATCACGGCAAATTTTATAACTCACAATTAAATTAAATCGTATAGTCGTGAAAAGGTACGAAACAGATAGAAAAAACTTTTGCATATTAGCAAACGCTGTCTTATGCATATTAGAGCCGGGGTGCAGATGAGAAAAAAATTTGTTCAGTGTTTAATAAAACCTGACTCGACGCCCTAGTAACCCGCGCCCGGGTGCGGCTACACGCCTTAACCTCCAGGCAAAAAACGACCCTGCATGTTAGATACGTACACTTACTAAATGCTATGTTGAAAGACAAATAAAAAAGAAATAATTTCCAGTTCACAACTGAAATAACTAGCCGTACTAATCGCTAAGGAATAGTGATAAAACATTTTGTCCTACATAAATGCCAATTACCTATACATATTTATCATGATCATAACATATATGAATATGATGTGAATGATCTTGACTTTTATTACTTTTGTTTTTTTTATTAATTTCTTTGATACAATTATTTGTTATTGAACATTCACGAAAAAAATAAAAAGCTACTGAACCCAAACAGCACAGAAAAGACTTAAATGATCATGTACAATTGGCACTTGCATAAATAAGCGATAAATACTAATTTCGATAAAAATACATGGAGATATTGCTTAGTAAATATGCCACTTGTAGTAAACTAAAATAATGATATAATTCACAGCGCCATCTAGTCCCAAGCTAAGCAGAGCTCGCATTATGGCTACTAGCAACTGATATAAATACATAAGTAGTTACTTTTATTTTTGTAAAGACACCCAGACCGACATAAACAATCATACTTATGTGGGGAGAAATGTGATTGTTAGTAGTGTGTCTATCCACTTGCTTAGCAATGTACCAGATTGACGCAGTTCCTCCTGGAAACCATCATGATAAATTCTTGGTGAATTTGACACGATCAGCTAACTGATCTGACCTCATGCTCATCTTATCATCCTCCACTGATTACTCCGCCAACGTAAATCGTTATCATATAAAATAATAAATATAAAACAAAAACATACTTATGCAAATATTTGTACCGTGCGAGGAATCGAACCCGCGACCATCAGTAGGAAGACGGTGTGCAAACCGCAACACCACTGAGATCGTCATTTGATATGGAATGGTATAGATCACTTACTTGTAGCGATTCCCATGTCAGTAACTTTGAGCTGGCCTTGTTTGATCATGGCTTCATAATTGGGTTTGATTGAGGTCAGCTCCAAATTGTAGAGACCAAACATTGGACCCTCCATCTGGTTGTCTTCATAAGTGAACAGAACTTGTATGTCTTTTATAAGGGCGCGTTGTACTGTCGCATACCACGATTGCGTGACTCTAAAAAATTGTAAATCTATTAATCCAGCTATATCTTCACAGCATATACTTTACAGAATAGGCACATATTATTAATATGATTTATTTCAATTATTTATATTATTATTATGGACTATTCCAGTAACATAAAATTTACATAAAATATTGATGTTTTGTTTTTTCTTAATCAACCAGTGTTATAATAAGATAAACATAACACTGGTTGATTAATTGATTGCTTAATTATGTTATTTCAAAGGATTGCTTCACTGAAGAAAAGTAGTGATTATTTAAAATTGTTTTTCTGTGGTATGACTTAAAAAACATCAATCCAGATTTAAGAAAATAGCTAAAAGAATACTATTTGTGAAGTTTCACATTTTTGAAGAGAGTTGAATGATAATAAACATAAAAAGAGAGATATTTATACTTCTCCCAGTCATCCTCTTTATATACTAGTAAACATAGTAACTGATAGTCCTAATTTTTTTTATCTCATGTTAAAATTCAGTATCTTAGCAATCTGTATTTTAACAAGTAGTAGTATTGTTTAGTAACTCCTCTTTTATCTGATACGCAATAAGTCTTACTTTTTAAAGCATGGGGGATCATGAGCCTGCTTAACAACTAATTGTAAATACAGTCACCCATGAGGGTCAGTATCACCATGGGAATAGCAGGTAAATCAACAAAGTAGCTTAAAGAAAGAATATACTCCTTCCTCTTTTAATATCATATTGGATCAGAACATTAAATAAACTTAATATAAGCATTTTTGAATAGTAATTTTTTTTATTATTTTAGCACTCATTCAGAATACAAACTCATCCCAAGAAGAATAAAAATCTTACATCAATCTGAATGGGAATAGGTCATACTTAGTCTTAGTAACTCACCTTCGGGGCATAGTTGTCATGGCTTCCCAATATGTGTCAATATATGGTATTATCTCCCTATCTTTACTGAAAAGCAGCCTGTTACTACCATCCTTCACACTCTCTTGCTTCAGATTAGCTATAGCTGTGAGACACATTTGTGGAAATGCTAGAACAATATATAATGATCAGCATTTGTACTATTACCAGCATACATAGTGCTGAATGAACATACAGTTATATAATTGTTATTTTTGTCTATAATGATTGTCAACTCTATGGTAGGTGAAAAGAATATAATCATTACGTAGTATAAAACAAAACATATATGCAAACAAACAAAGTCCAAAAAAATATGGGATATTCACTATACTCATGGAAATTCTGTAAATATGATGCTAACAGATTTATAAAAAAAAAATATATATAAGTTAGATTTACAAGAACAAATACAAATATTTCTAGACTTTCTAGGTAAAAAGTTTAGTGTGGTCACATAAACATTAAAGATATTTTAATTCAGAAAGAGAAAGAAAATACTTCTGTATGATCACAAACAGTTTGATAGTGACATGCTTAGTTTTCATTTAAATTAATAACAGATTTATTCAATGTCTATGAAATTGAAATACTACATGCTATATTACCTATTCATATTGTATCTATGCACTTAATACTGGCTACTATAATATATTGTGACAATTGTTTTCTTCGGATATTTACAATTGTCACTTTGTCAACTGTTTCTCCAAACTGCAATAACTATTCCAAGTGTGTAACTATTAAAACTAAAAGTGGACAAGGTTACAACGTATAAATATTAAGTGTTAAAATACTCACGAGCTTGATTCTTTTTGAAAGTTTCCAAACCAGTAGGTGAGCAATTTTTACATATAAAGAGATAGTTTGTCATGAAAGGCACCAATTTACCCAGCTGGTAACCAATGCACGACTCGTGGAACCAGCGATTACATGAAGCACATAGTAATTCCGCTATATTCAGATTTCTATCTTTCCCGCTAAAAAATACATAAAAATATCAATTAATCATCAGTGTTGTGAATGATGGAATTAATTGACACAATATTGAATATTTTAGTTTACCAATAACAATTTCCTTGAGATTCTCCAGATGGTTTATTTATTTTACTTTTATCACCATTCTCCGCCAATTTTTGAGATTCCGTTTGCTGCATATTTTGGCTACCACTTATAGCAACATCTGTTTCAATTTTCTTCAAGCCTTCGGCCAGTGTCGAAGACATTTTATGTAAAGGATCTATGCATTTATTTAATTCGAAAAAATACGTAATTAATCTTAAAAAAATTATCGAAAATATCAGTCATGAGACAAGCAATAAAAAACAAACACAAATTATGTGAAATTAATAGATTATATTTTTTAGAAGTGAACCACAGATCAGAAAGGTTAGACTGTACTGGAAGTCACTGTCAACGTACTCTGTGTCAATAAACCAAACCTTATATTTTAAAATTGATGTGGTAGATTTATTGTTTATTTTATAAAATTTTGACTTTATAAGCAATACAAAAAAATATTATAGATATATAAATACACTTCAATTTAATTTGTTCATATTTTTTTAATACCGTAATCGTAACGTAATATGTGTGGATCAAATGATCGATACATTTTCTTATCTGTGGAAACTCTTAAAAATAATCAATTCCGTAGATCTAAAATTTATTGAAGCTTTATTTATACCACGCAATGTATCATGGTTCGTCTGATGTGTCCCAATTTTATGAAGCCTTTGAAACAACTGCTTACCAAAAAGAATCGTGAATTACTTTTTCGGTTTCGCTTTTTTATTATCTGTTGGGTAAATGTCATCCGTTTCATACTACAACAGCCGGAGAATAAACACTAGACAACCAATAATAGAAGAAACCGAGGAATTAAACTTTTGAAATCAACGAACTTAAATTTGTCAATTTAATTTGTGTTTGTTTCATTTTTAATATATGCTATAAGCTTTTATAAGCTTTTCCTTAATTTAGTTCGATATTTGTAATAGTTATTTTGTTTTTGTAATAATATTTTTTGGGATATTGTTGTTTTAAAGTTTCAATTTTGTTATTGAAAATAATTCCTATAATATTGATATATATATATTCCTATAATGGTATAATTATTAAAATTATTCCGCAGTCTTAGTAAAAGAACTAACTGATTATAATTGTCTGAATATGGATTCTGTAACAAGTACTGATGATTTATGTATCGATACGAAGACAACGCAAGAAAATATTCTTCTGGAAATGATCAAGGAGTTGTGTTGTGAAGCAAATGGAAAAATATCAAGTAATTTAAAGGGGAAAGTTAATAGAATAATTGCAGATTGCGATTTAACACACTATTCCAGTTTACATAGACTTAGTACAGCTGATGAAAGTACATCTACTTTACTTGGTTAGTGAGATAGTTATAAGAACAAATATTTACTAGCTGCCCGCGACTTCGGCTGCTATTTTAGATAAAATATAGCCTATATCTGTCTTTGTAATACAATTGGTCTTTATTTTTAATTGTACGAAAGTCTGTTAGTTCATTTAGTAGTAAAATAGTAATAAACAGTTAGATACACTTTTGAAATTCAAATCGAATTAGATTTTCAATTTTCGAATTTTCGAACCTTGAATATTCCAGTTTAGCTTCTGCCCATTGAATTTAATTCTATGGGTGATGATGAAATGATGCATTCATTAAATAATTAAATACATCAAGGATTAACCACTATGATTTCCAGGGGGACTGCATAGTGGTTGACTTGGTAATTAGTTGCATTTCGTTTCATATTGTTTTTAAGATACTGTTATCTTTGTTTTATAGTGTAAATTAAAAATAAATAGTTATACAATAAAAATTTTCTTTCATTGTTATGTTAAAAATAATAAGTACAATTAGAAACTTGTTAATCACAAATTGGAATGACTTTATAGGGTACATGCAACAAACAGCAACAGACCTTACTTTTGAGGAACAGGCAGAACTAAATCAAGCTATCATAAATAAAATACAAGAGAAAATCCCAGCATTTACGTCTGAATTAGACAGACTACGGCAATTAACAAACAAGCAGTCAAACAAACATAAAATCAAAGAATTACAAGAGAATTTAGATGAAAAACTCAATCTATTACAAGAACAGGAGAATGAGAAAGTAGAGCTGATGATGGAGTGGCTCAATCATAGATTGAATGAAGTGACAAAGTTTAGTGACAACTCAAGTGAGTTGCTCACATTGAAGACTCAGATTCTAGATTTAAAGTCAAAGTAAGTATCCATATGTTAATAATCACCTGAGGAAGGCACCATGCCAAAAAAAGAGATTCTTCCATGTAAGAAGAAATAACTTTTTAGAGATAAGGCAGGCAGTTGTCACCTCTTTGTCTTGTTTATTATTTAGTGTTTTTATAGTTTTATACATAATTGTATATGTAACTTTATAAAAAATGCTTAAATGTAAAGTTTCAATATTTTTATTAAGTAATTATAATACAATATTATTTATATAGAATTCAAATCTCTATGAAAACAAGTGTTGTTTAATTAGACCTCCAAAGAAAGTTTTAATTATTATATTTAAATAACTGGAAAAATAGTGTGGGAGATGAAAATAGAATGGTCCCATTTTTTCTGAATCTCTTTTAAAGAACATTAACAAAGCATTAGTTTACTTTACTACCACTCTGCATAGCAGAGTAGATTCAGATATTTTTTATTTATTTTTTCCCCTATATCTTTTTATCTATTAAAAATAGTGGTATTTTGTCACAACATCAAAGCCACTGGGACTTATTCACAATCTTATGTTGTCACTGCATTTAGCCTTATTTTAGCTGCATTGTGAGTCAACTATAAATTTACGGTGCATCTTGAGTAATTTAATTTTATTGTACCGTGGCTAGAGATAGTGGGCTTTACTTTATATTAAATTTATATAGTAAAATATGTCCATTTCATGTGTTGAGTTTTTCTCGACATTGTACCCAACATTAATAAAAATATTGATTAAATTTCAGAATACTGCATCTACAGATATTGCAAAATATATTTACTGAGACCAACCAATCAATAAAAGCATACAGTGAAATTCACAAAGACCTGCAGGACAGCATAAAGGAAACTGAAGAGAGGATAAAAAAATTCCGCCAAATTATTGCTAGTGATATTTAGTTTTTTTATGTATTATTTGGAAACGTCTGTAATTCTCTTAGTTTTATTTTTGGCCTATGTATTATTTTACATTATAGAAGTGAAAAATCTTATAAAAAAAAATTGCCAGTGGCTATCCTCTGAAATAATAGGAATTTTGAATTAGTATTATACGAAATTATTGAAGTGATTGTGAATAAAATATATTCAAGATTCAACTCTGTACCAATTTGTCGTTTTTGTTATGTTAATATATCTTATACTTATTATTTTGTGCAGTCATTAATAAAAAGCAGGTAGTTTGTAGTTGTATGTTATTATAGTTGATCCTAACAGCGAGGTTTCAAAACACGATTCATCAAAGTGATATTATCGAAAAATAATGACAAGGATTTGACGATAAAGAAATTGCTCAAGTAATGTAAGTTTCGCCACAATAAATTATTTATATAACTAGACTGATTGCATTGCTGAAAATGAAATGAAATGTGTACCTACTGTAGTACACATTTCATTTCATTTTCGAATAGAAAAAGTTTTGCTTACATGTTACACTTATATTTAAGTATCACAAAAAAATCGTCCAAGCTCTCACTGAAATCTTTCATTTTGTTTGTCTCCACATAGATTAACTTTAGTGTAAAGATTCCGGACTCCGCGTTAAGCTTACGTATTAATTATATTATGGATCATGTATCAACTTAAAATTAATAATAAAATTAATTTTTTGGTAATACAAATATTTACATCTATCTAACTACCTACTACAGGAAACAATAAGTAGCGACATTTCATCACATCACATAAGCTACAAAGGTTAGATAATACTCATCACCCTACAAACTCATACATGTGCTCAATAAAATAGTAAATCAACCTTGACTGTATACTGTATATATTAAAAAAATACACGTACGAGTATGTTACGATACCGAGGTCAAAAAAATATTTGATTTTTAGAATGTTTGTGCGCTTGTGCACTTTAATCTCAGAAATAATTTAGCCGATATCAATGAGAATGATTTTCACTGATATATTGTAGCAGGTTATAACTTAACGACTATAACTATTTACCGTACCGACTATAACTTTTTTATTATTCCAAATATCATGCTTAGAATATTGTCGGTGCAGCTATTATTTAATATTTTTATATAATACTAGCTGTCCCGGCAAACATTGTTTTGCCATATAAATTAATAACGCTATAAAAAATAGGGGGTTGGTGATAGAAGGATGAAAATTTAAGGTTGTATGTATTTTTTAATGACACAATAAAAAATATTGCCCAAAAAATAAAAAAATAATGTTAGGTTGTGCACAACCCTTATCACTTAAAAAAATAGATAGTACTCGATTCTCAGACCTACTGAATATGCATATAAAATTTCATAATAAAGCCGTTTCAGAGGAGTATGGTAACTAACATTGTGATACGAGAATTTTATATATAAGATAACTGTTATTCGTGACTTCGATACGTCGAATTAAACTTTTTTTTATTAAAATAAAATTAAACAATTTGTTTTAGCCTAAGCATAGATAAGATAATATGGCCTAATTACTTCTTATAACATTAGCTGTGATTAAAGCCCTAGTGAAAACAGTTCAACCGTTCCAGAGCTTAGCTAGAACAAATAGACAAATAAAAATATTTATACCTAATTAATTTTTAGATTAGTAAGTGGGTACTATACATATAGGTACTTTGATATGTTGTTAATGCTGTTAATATTAAAAACAAACGTTTTATTTATTTGTATAGAACGCTCGAAGTGTTGAATCGCAGATACTAGACGGTGACTATAAATATGAATCATTATATAAGTACAAGAGTCGATGTGAATTCATGTCCAAATTCCAACATAATTGTCTATCAATGGAAGTACACAGTGCCACGGTTTACTGTTTAGCTTATGTTGCAATGTAATATCTCGAAAACACAAATAGGTACCTTGTAATAATAAGCCGATATGTCACGAGTCTTTTCCTGTATAAACAGGTAAATAACTACATTCATGCTCACATATTATTTCTAATTAAGTTACTTTGAGCTTGGACTTTATTCTTACAGTAAAAGGTCAAATAAAATATCTTTGTCCATTTATCTAAATATCATTATCTATTACTACACTTACTATACATACGTTTTTGAAGTTGAAATTACTTGAATTACTTTAGTATTAAAACCCTTTTAAATATATTGATAAATCAATGGATGTTTGTCACAATTTTACCCAATAACTATTGAAAAGATTCAAATTTAATTTACTTCCTAAATTTCCGTCCTAGAAAAACCGACTATTTATTTAAATTATTTCATATTTATTATAACTAGCTGTGCCCGCGGTTTCACTCGCGTGAAATTTATAGCTTCTATATTAATCTGACAAGCCATAGGTATTACTGTAAAGTTTCATCAAAATCCGTTCAGTAGTTTTTGCGTGAAAGAGCAGGTAACAAACATCCATCCATACTCACAAACTTTCGCGTTTATAATATTAATAATAAGATTGCAATGATGAATATCTCAGTCGACTTAGTTTAAGAAACTAATAATGAAAGTATTATTACTTTTTGCGTCATAATACTTTTATTCATTAGCTAATGATATCGATACATTAGTTAATGAACTTTATATCGTTACAGAGGGGGGAAGGGGATTGTTAGTAATGTGGATTTATAACCCCATCACCGAGGTTGACCTCCACGCGGTTCCCCCTCGTTCCATCTGGTTTAATTGATATTTACCAAGATGGGCTAACGGACCTGACTTTATGCTCATTTTATGATCCTCTACTGGTGTAGCCACCGCCTGCGTAAAACGGGTGCACCATTCCATTATCGTCCATATATTTTTTTTTTTATGGACGATAATGGAATTTTTTATTATTGTTTTAGACGTCAATTTTAGCGAGCTGCCGTAGCCAATAAAATATAAATCGTTACAAGTGGACACAAATTATATTAGGCAAATTCAGACTAGAGAACTACCTATATGGTAAATTAACGCGACCGCGACATAGAGAATTAGTATCACTTTACATTTTGATGCATCATTGAATAAAGTGACCACTTGGCGGTTATTAGATAAAGTAAAATAAAATTTTAGTATTTAGCATAATGTTGATTTCATATTTGCTATATAAGACAGGCAAAGGTTTCTAAACTATACAGCCCGTTCTTCGGTGGATTTTAGCAATATACTCAACGAATGACATTTTTTTGCTGTCTACCCACACTACCAAATGTTAGTAGGATATAATTTTACAACAATAACTATGAAAAACAAAAAAATATTTCTAAATTACATAACAATTAAAAAAAATAAAATTGTTTATAAATTAAAAACTACTCGGACGACAAAGGAAACAAAATAAACGGTTAAATTGGTGAACTATCGACAATAAATAAAAAAGAATTATTTAATCATCACTTTGGTACAAATGACATCAAATGATTCACAAGACTCATGTACTACAGTGTGGAAAGATTAATCTTCGGTACAGTATCAGTAGTGCTAATACCACTCGAGTGAGTAGGCCGTGCGTTATTTAAGTAGGTAAACATTATGGATTTAACCGAAATTCTTAGACAAGTGGGCAATATTTTCTGGTGAGTTTAATTTTTAATTAAGTAATTTTTTAATTGTGACAAAATAATATAAAGCGTTTGAAACACGCAGTTTAATAATTTGCCTATAATGTTTTTTCTAAATAATGAGTAGCCGATTCATCTAGTCAAATTACATAGATGACTATATAATTTTTTATACTTATTTATGTGATTGGGAATCATAAAGTGACAACCGATTTAACGGATGTATATGTCGCTCGGTGTGGGTACACGATAATTATGTTATCACGTAGGTATATTTTGCCGCCAATTTCTCCATATTTTCCCACTGTTAAGGTGTATTATTTATTTATCCACGAATATATGCAATATTCGTGGATAAATTCGTGGAACCTCTTTTATGAGCTATTGAATTCAATGTAATGCTATATTCAATATTTTAAACGAACTATTGAAATTTCCTAGGAACTCTTAGACATCCCAGAATGGTGTCAATTATTAACAAGACTGAGAGAGAAAGACTAGTGTATATTGATGTTTATAATAGAAAAACAGAGAGACTTGTTATTTTATTTGACTTTGTTATTGGATGTTAATGTTTAAATTAGAGAGTGAAGAAGTAAAAATATCAGACGAAGTCAAGCCTTAGTCTTTTGATAATTTTTCAGTACAACGTTAGTTTTTGTGTATTCCACATTGTGGAATATTGATGTCCTGTGTTCCATTATATAATCGTGTTATTATAATAATGTTTTTAACTGAATATATATGTACCTACTATATCCCGGTCATAGACATATAAAAAGATGCTAATTTTGTTAAATAGCTGTGACTTTATTTTTGTGGAATATATTCTCAAATTATGGCATAAAGACTGTCCTATGTATTATCTAGTATATTATCTATGTACCAAATTTTTTTTTATTAAATTGTTTTACGGCACTGGGTTTTTTTAAAATTCGTCCAGCTGTATTCTGGACGAATTTTAAAAAATCCAGTAACACATATTAATTTTTACCAAGCAATTCTTCAAACTCGTATTCCTAATATGAAATAATATAATTTTAACAGTTTATTAGCAGGTTCGTACTTGTTTACTGCTAACTAGATTAACTAGTTACCTACTAGCTAGCTATGTTTACTTTTGTCAGTTCACCAAACATTTAGTCATCAATCTTGGTGGTATCATGCTAGTTCTGTCACAAAAGTACGGTTTCCTTTACAAAATTTAAAAAATAAAAAAATGTTATAGAATCTTATTTATTATATCGAATTCTTAAGTAACTATTAGGTATTGATTATGGAGCATTAAGTATAATGATTAAGGAAGCTTAGTAGCCCGATGTCGTAATGAAATGAAATTTCTGTTATCATATAGTAGGTATATTACTAATACTTATTGATAACATATCACTAGTTTAAAACCATCTAACAACGTTGTTGACCGATATTGATTGTTCCAAAAACCTACATGCTATGTATTAAAGATGTTTTCCTGCAACATTAGAGGCGTTCTGCGGCGTTGCCTGCGAGAATTGCGATAAAAATTATCCTGCAAAATTTGGTCCACAAAAGGAATCCTAGATACGCCTATATATATTTTAGACTAGTTGTGCCCTCGTTTTCACCTCCGTTATATTTCAATATATAAATTTCAATAAAAAATATAGTCTATATGTTATTCTGATGCATAAACTATATTACTGTAAAGTTTCATCAAAATCCCTTAGTAGTTTTTGCGTGAAAGAGTAACAAACGTCCGTACTCACAAACTTATGTTTATAATATATATGGGTACTATGTTTATAAAATTATTAAGATTGACAATCGTAAGTTATAATTTTCTAGGAATGATCTATCTTGCTTTTAGTGATCTACAGTCTCTAAGAGAGGAAAGGAATTGTCAGTAAGAGAACTAATAATCCCAGTCCTACCAATGTATCACGTCAGGTTGACCACTACACGGTTCTCCCTGGTAATTGTCGTGGTAAATTTCCATTTTACCTGACCTCATGCTTATTTTATCATCCACCAGCGTAAACCGTTAGCACAGGCGGGTGTAGTATTCCATTATCATTAATAAAAATCATTTTGTATAGGTAAGACCATCTAGCAAGTAGACATACTGTTAAAATAAATTTCCTAATAAGAATTAAAATTAACTTTATGGTTACCGTGACTCAAAACTTAACGTAAGATCTATTTAAAAAAAATGTTTGCGAAGGTCTTAAACTCTTCAACCCAACTTTGGAACTATAGCTGACGTTCACTAGGATTCATTATACAACTATCTTAACCACTTTAGAAGTTGTCCGTAGAGAGGCAATGATTGGCTCTGTTTCGGGCACTATATTAATTTACGAGGTTAAAGAGCTAAATTGACCTAAATAAGTACTAAATATTTTTATTTCTTCACACAAGGCTAATAGATTTTTTTTATACTACGATGGTGGTAAACAAGTATACGGTCCATCTGATGGTAAACGTAGCCTATGGACACCTGAAACACCAAAGTTGTCACGTGCACGTTGCTAACCCTTAAGAAACCTTTATAAATCCTTTTTCAAAAACCCTAATCTGTAGTATCTCGAGAAAACTTCGGCAGGTAGTTCATTCCACAATAAATGTTGGAAACCTGCTATGCAGTTCGTCTTTAAATCTATAATAATTCCATTTTCAGTCGTGTGTCGGAGGCTCTAGGTATACAATGGGCACCGAGGGATGTCCCCATGATCAGGCGTCTCCAAACCCTGGCAGCTGCAGCTTGGATTAGCCTAATTCTGTTCGGGGAGGCTATCTCTATCTACCTCTTGTACCGACTCGTGTACTCCAGGTTGTGGTGGGTAGCGTTCCTCTACCTCGTGTGGATGATCAATGATATTGATACTTGCAACAAAGGAGGTCGGAGGTGAGTACGAATCTTTTTTATTTAATTAGAATGGTAAACAAAGAAGCTGACGGCCCGCCTGATGGTAAGCGGTAACCGTCGCCTTTATATACATACATGGGGACAGTACTTCGGACGAAAATGTCATATCTCTTGTCCTGTAATTTCACTGCCTAATCAGCATCCTACAACCGTAATACAGCTTACAAAGCAAGCTGCTTGGTGGCTAAAACAGACTGCTTGGTGACAAACACACCTTTGACATCGAGGGGATGTGATTGTTAGCAATGGGAACTAGTGCCTTCTTGTTAGCAATGTCTGTCAGAACGACCCCAAACGACTTCCCTTGGAGGCCATAGTGTTTAATATCTCGTGAATTCACCACAACGGGCTTACTGACCTGTATATTATATATAAAACATATTTATGCTCAAAAGAGTTTGAATATGTTTTTATCAAATGTAAAATATTTATATAATACGTATATATGGTTGATAATAATATTCTGTGTTAATAGACTGTGAATTAAAAATATTTATAATAAAAAATGTCAAATGTTAATATTATTTTGAATTGTACGATAATGAGTGTGTTGTGTGCAGCTTATAGCAGCGTGTTGCATGTTGCACTTCCAACATGGACAAAGTCCATTCAGATAACACCTAAAAACCATCTTTAATTGCTATATTATATCAGATTTAATTACAGCCAACGGTCGCGTGAATGTGAAATACCTTTGAATGAATTAATTAAAAAAAACTCTTTGTTAGTTATTTCTTTATTAGTCGAGATGGCCTCCGTGGTCTAGCGGTGTAGCACACCGCCTTACTTCCTATGGTCGCGGGTTCTATTCCTCTCACGGCACTAACATTATTCATAAGTATGATTGTGTCGGTCTAGGCGTTTTATATGTATAATATGTATGTATTTACGAAAAAAAAATGATGTATTTGTATCAGTTATCTAGTGTCCATAGCACAAGCTTTTGGTAGCTTAAGTTGGGTCTAGATGGCACTGTGTAAATTATCCTGAGATTACTATTAGATATACTATGAGAGAAACTCACAGTATCTCGGCTATACAAGATCATAAACATCTAATGAGAACGTCCAGTGTTTTACAACTCCGACTTACTTCCAAAAAATAAGCAGTTCAAATCTAGCCAACATAAAAAAAATGTGTAAATACCGATAACAAACTCAAAACAAACAAGAGACAAAAACAAAACAAGAGACGGCGGTAGGCTCCGTTGAATACAAATATATATATAATATATGTATCTTAACAATTATGAGTATTACATTCACAATTTATTTTTTATTTTTTTTTTATTTATTTATTCATTTATTTCAGGCAACTAGGCCCATATTATAAATACCTTATAGACTAACATACATATAATATAATAAAAACATTACATTCACAATGAGGTCGATAATAAACAATGTCCCTGATTATCCCATCAGGCATAATAGTTGTGATGCTATAAACAACTTATAAACGACACTTCTTTTTGCAGGTGGGAATGGGTGAGAAACTGGGCATGGTGGCGCTACTACTGCGAATATTTCCCTATGAATCTAATCAAAACGACAGAATTGGACCCCTCGAAGAACTACCTCTTCGCTTGCTTCCCCCACGGAGTCGTGTCAACGGGAATTTTAGGATTATTTAACACTAACGCTTTAAACTTCTACAAAGTGTTTCCTGGCATGACACCACATTTCATAACACTCAGAGGACATTTCTTAGTGCCGTTCTTTAGAGATCTAATTATGGCTATGGGATCCTGCTCTTCATCAGTGGAAAGTCTTCTTTATTTATTGAACAAGAAGAAGCATCAGGGTAAATGCGTGGCTCTGGTTGTTGGCGGTGCAGCGGAGGCACTCGATGCTCACCCTGGCGAGTACAAAGTAATTCTTAGCAGAAGAAAAGGGTTTATACGAGTTGCCATCCAATCCGGGTAAGTGCTATTTGATATTTGAAATTTAGCTATTTTATCTATAACGAGTTTTACGAATGCTAGTAATCAAATTTCTGCATTTCTCATCATTGGTATAAACCCAATTACGTTCGGAATTTGTTGACTATTGGGAAAGGTCGTAACGCTTTTGTAGTCTCTCACACATAACAGTAGCGGAATTAAATAAAGGAATACAAATCCATTATGTAATTAGCGATTTTACTACTTTCGTAATTTAGCATTTTTTCTTAATATATTTTAAACTACATGTTACCGCGGTTTACCTGCGTGTACCTGCAATTTATGGCCTATTTGTTATTTATGACTATGTAAAATGTTATTGAAAATAATGAAGGTAGGTTATTATAACATAGGTTTAATTTATGGATGAAGTTGTACTAGTAAAGATATAAATAATCATTAATGCATTACGTAGATACTTAGATATTGTTTACTTGGTAATTTATTATAGAAACTGGATTGACCCCGGCCTCGTATTACGTTATCTGATGTTAATTAGTTAATATTAAATACTGTGATGATATTTTACACCACAGAATGATAAACATCGTAGGGTTAACCGTAAAGGGGTCAATTCCCTTCCGTGTGCTATAAAATCCAAATATACCTATAACCTCAGTGGTCTAGAGGTGTGCTTTCAGTCGTCTCGGGTTCGATTCCTCGCACGGTACAAACATTTGTATTCATGAGTATGATTGTTTGTATCAGTCTGGGTTTTTTCTATGTATAATATGTATGTATTTACAAAAAAATATATCTATGTATAGGTATCCGTTATATAGTATTACATATAACACAAGCTTTAGCTACCTTAACTTGGGTCTAGATAGCGCTGTGTGAATTGTCCTGAGATTATTATTAGTATGATTGTTTGTATCGGTCTGGGTATTTTCTAATTATATTGTATATTATGTATTCAGTATCCATAACACGAGCTCTCCTTGCGTTGAGACTGTTGGGACTGGATGATGCTGTGTGAAATTTTTGGGATTATCATTATTATTATATATAGCTTTATTTAAATATTAGCTGCCCACAAAGGTGTAAATCTATTATACTGTATAATTTATACATATAAACCTACCTCTTGAATCACTAGGTTGTTATCTGTTTTTTATATCTCTTAGTAATAACTTGGTCACTCCAATATTTTTCCAAATATATATTTATATTTTTTTGTGATGAAGCATTAAAAACACAAACAACCCTAAATTTTCACTCTTCTACCACCAACCCCTATTTTTAATCTATCTAATCTTTTGTTGAAAACTGCATTAAAATCCGTTGCGAACTTTATAAGATCTACACTGTACAGACAACCGGAGTGACTTTGTTTATACTATATAAAGATTATTGTAGTTCAAAACATACTGCAATAAACATTAATATTAGCTCTGATAAGATAATATTAAACATACATACATACGAAAATTAAAATAAAATGTTTAAACGGATACCAAGACAGAAAAGGCGGTATTTTTATAGTTATAAGCATTGGTATTTTTATGAATATACTTAAGCATTCACCCTATAAGAAAACATTATCTGAGTAAGTCTGTTTAAGTACTTACTTAAAATAATAACTTACTTAATAAAATTTTGACTCCTAATTGGTACTCTCGGAAATGCCCTAACTTAAATGCGATTTTCTTAAGTAAATTTCCTTGGAATAATAATTAATAATTCTTGTTATTTTATAACAAACGTAAAACAAACAATAAAATTTAACTTATTATTATTCCCGCATAAAGTTGCTTTTTTACAATTTATTTATACAAATATTAAAAATGTAATTAATTGACCACTGTCTATACATGACAGATATATGAGAAGAATTGTTGTTGAGGAATTTTATCAATGTTACAAAACCCAAACCAATGATTTTAGAACTTTTATCTGATTTTGTTATACACCACGTATTTGTCGCTCGCTAATCTCAAAAATGGCTCAATCGATTTGGGTTGGGTTACCCTAATGCAATGTGGTAATCTTCACTTAAAAACTAGTGTTTATCGAATTTGGTATTATTTTCCGGAAGTCCATTTCATTATTCAATAGGTTTATGTTATTTTGTTTAAATTGTTTATTCGTAGTCTGGTCGCCGAACAGTCGACATTAGGCTCTAAACTATAATATATCCAAACTATTCATTGACTAAAAATGCCACGTTTAGAGGCGAAATACGGGCGTAGATCCAATAACGTTCAGAATTTGATCACCAATCGCGACGGGTTATGCTTTCTGTAGCAGTGGTCAGGTTTCCAAACAGATTTTTTGTGATCTCGCACATGCCAATGGTAGTGGAATTAAACAAAATAATATAAATCCATTACGTAATGAAATTAGCGTTTGTCGTATATGAATCAGTTCGTAAACCAAAAAGTTATATGGGTACAAAGTGGTGGGCTCAGCTTGTCTTACTAATATTATAAACGCTAAACGAAAATCTGTGAGTATGGGTGGATAGATAAATGAATGTCTGTTTGTTACTCTTTCACGCAAAAACTACTAAACGGATTTTGATGAAACTGTGCAGTAAAATAGCTTATACATTAGAATAACACATAGGCTATAAGCTTCATCCGGGTGAAACCGCGGCCAGTTATTAATAATTTATTTAACTTTAAAATTAATATTTAATTCCAGAGCTCCATTGGTACCGGTGTTAACATTTGGAGAGCCGGATGTGTTCAGGCCAATGAACAACCCTGAGAATGGGTTCCTGAGGAAATTCCAGGACAAGTTCCGTCAGCTCACAGGCATATCCCCCGTCGTGCCAGTTGGCCGGGGATTTATGCAGTACTCTTTTGGCATTATCCCATTGCGCACTCCACTTACTATTGTTGGTGAGTGCTCAAACTATGTATAACTAATATTTATTTAATTTTTAACCATGTCCAAAAAAGAAGGATATTCTCATAACACAAGCTTAGGTAGTCTAGTCCCTAGACGGCGCTGTGTTAAATGTTCCTGGACTGATTTTATTATTGCAACTGTGAAATAGTTTATAAATAATTATGTAACTGTGGATGAAATGAAATACAATTTAATTGTCCAAGAAAGTTTACTGTAGTTACAAATGGTCTTAATTTTTTTTTAATTTTACAAATATATATGTGAATAGGGTAGGTAACTGGTGTGCTAGATAGATTAATCAATAGCCTATGTTTAGAAGAGAGATTATAATCTGTTTTTCAAATATAAAGCTGCTATGGCAGAAGTTAGAGACATGTGACTTTGTTAACAGTGTACTATATATACCTAAATAAATAAGTTGTACTTATATACTAATAATACATTACAGTTGGCAAACCAATGGAGGTAAAAAGAATTATAGAGCCCACAAATGAAGAAGTAGATGCAGTGCATGCGGAATTCACACAAACACTCATCAAATTCTTCAATGAAGAAAAATCCAAATATTTGAAGAACCATCAGGACGTTCAACTTACTATAATATAAAGAATTATATGTTACAGAAGAATCTTAAAAAAGCAGTGACAATTAATTAATGTTATTCTATAATCTGGAACTTGTACAAGAAATTGTAATAATTAGTTGTATTTATATGAATAACAAATTTACGTATGTACATTTCTGTTTCTGTATATAAGGAGCTATCTAAAAGTGTGACGTAATGTCACACCAATTTCAGCTTGTCACAGATTAATACAATGTCACACTTTGTCAATAAGATGTGACCTATATATTTCTATCTACATAGAAATAGTTTTAATTACGTAAACATATTTTCAAACTAAGTTTGTTTCTTTAACTTATTTAATTGTGTAATTCATACAGTTCCAATTCTAATCTTTCGGCGACAGACCAAAAACAGTTTTTCGATTATGTATGGACCATTCTACAGCCGTAATTGTGATTATTGCTTTACTTATAACGGCAACTCTCAAATAGTACAAGCAAAATCGAGTTTAATACAATTAAAAATTGCCAGTAATTTTAAATACCAATAGATTATTATTAAATATGTGCCATAATGCTATGTAATCATGGTGTACTATAAATCAAAAACTAGAATACTGTATGATATTGTTTTTAACATTTGTTTTAATATTAAGTTTCTAAGGAGTTCATAAAACGTTTTTGTGGGAGTCTATGAAGAGTGTGTCTACATCGTGTTTTGTCACATTTTTTCAAAATAAAAAAAATAGTTGGAAAGATAAGGACGGAATAGATATAAATAACTAAAATAAGTTTATTATAGACTAAGGGGCCGCAACTTCGAACGTGTGTATGTATATTTGTAAATAACAATCTATTAAAGATAATCATATCACAACAATAAAAAAAAAGTCTATACGCCATCTATTATTTGGTTATTGAAATTGTAATATACATATATAGATATAACTGTTTCTACATTTGGGGTGTTGTTTTTCACAGTTTTCCCATATTTAACAACATTTTCAGTAAAAAATAATCCTAATCGATCCAGTCGTTCTTACGTGAAACATGAACATATAAATAGATGATGTACGTATTTATAGTTTATCCCTAGATAAGTAGGCTAATAACAAAGATTTGTGTTTTTTTTTATACAAGAGTAATTCTGTAAACATATATTGACACATGAAGTTAATGCAATTTTAAATCCATATCAATGTAGGTCTAGATAAAATTTGCAATGTAATTTATGGTTTTTATTGATATTTTAACGGAATAAAATATTGATTATCGCGTTGTTAAATCCTTAAATCCATGTGATTTAATATCTGTCGCGATATCGTACTCTGAGTACAGTACTGTATATATACTTATACTTAAGAATATTTTTCGGGAACTAGACTTTAAAGTTATAGGTTTAGTGTCGATTTTCCAAAATTTCTAATTTTATTGTATTGGGGATTCTTTATAGTTATCGAGTACCTACTGAAAATATGGTAATATATTAGTAGTACCTATATCAATATATTATAGAATAAATAACTTCTATATGCTTTGATGTTTTTATATATATATCGATCAATTTGTTGTGGCAAAATGAATATATTTACTTATGTATATGTAAAATATAAGTCCTATATATATATATACCTACAGATGTAAAAATTTAGCGCTCGTAAATATAATTTTTTTATATGTAAAGAATTTGCAATTTGAATTTGTGATTAGGTATATATCTATATATAGATCTATGTATAGAGGAGAATAGAGTCTTTTTCCCCGTTTCTAAAATCTGTAGAACCGCCTGTTTTGATGCAGGTAATGTTTTTCCTAACGTCGGATCCCGTTCAGTTCATTACCTAATTATATATTTTTAATATTGTTATAGTTTGTTAATGTTAATATAATAGAAACTCAGAGGGAAGAACTTCATTATTTAAATTCCATATTTTGTTTTGTAATTCAAACAGATTTTTCTTATTCTTAATAATTTTGCCTTTTTGTATTAGTCATCGTATAATTTATAAAATTTATATTCAACAAATAATTACCTACTGTTTGAATAGAATAGGTATCAGTAACATCGAATTTAGTTACCTAGTTCCTATATAAGTAAGTCGTAACTTAAATAATTTTTATTTGTATTTTATTTTCGGTTGTTCGATTTTATAAAATAATTTAGTTGTTTTAAATAAATACCTATTATTAGTTAGATTATTATTATTATAATTTATTCATTAGTTATATATTTATATACATATATATAAAATTCTCGTGTCACAGTTTTCGTTCCCATACTCCTCCGAAACGGCTTGACCGATTCTCATGAAATTTTTTGAGCGTATTGAGTAGGTCTGAGAATCGGCCAACATCTATTTTTCATCCCCCTTTTAGGGGTAAAAATTTAGGGTAGTCCCCTAACATTTTTAGGGGACTACCCTAAATTTTTTTTTATATTAAGGCTAAACAACGTTTGTCGGGACAGCTAGTATATACTTATATAAGAATATGGTATTATGTTACGGATTTATCATCTTTTTGATTTCATTCTTGCTCAATAAAGTTCAGCTATATATAAAATCGCGGATCAAGTATCATATTTGCAATATTAATAGGTAAACAAGGCCTTTGTCGCGGAAAAAATATGTACATATAAATATATAATAAATATAAGGTGATGATGGATTCGGTCGTAACGCTTCCGGAATAGCGATGGTCAGGTTTTGCACTGAATGTTTGTGGTCTCACGCTTGCTAATAGAAGCAGTAATAACTAGTGGTCGCTAATGATCAAAATTCAACTATAATTAATTAAAAATTCAATAAGACTATAGACAAATATTATTAATGACAAACAATACTAATCTATTCTTAATTTGACCACAGACTAACGATAAACAAAAGAGTATATATGCGTGCATGTATGATGCAATATGTATAAGGTTTTTTAATTGATTTATTTTTAACGCATAAATTAAAAATTTTTAGCATTTTGCACTCTACTCTTTATATAAACTAAAACTATGTACAATTTCATACTCATCCGTCCGCACAATTTTCGAAAAAAATGGGTAATAAGTTTTTGCTTTACTATATTAATTTATAGATAAATACAATATCATTAAGTATTTTAATAATTATACCGTCTCTGTAAATTAGACTCCTTTAACATATTATTATACATATATGAATATATAAGTGAGTATTTATAAGTAAGGTATATAAGAAAATAACACAACATATACACCATTTTACTATTTTTATTTAAAATTTTTATATTTACATTTTATATACAAGATTAATGTCGGCGAATGCGCGCCTCTCAACGCATCAGCAACTCATTTGAGCATTTACTTATTCTGCTTCATGTTTCCCTTACCGTTTTTTTATGAAGGTATCATTATAATTATACACATAATTTTACATTACGAGCGAGCGGGAATGATACAGAGTATAACAGGCATGTTACTACGGTACCTAATCTTACATAAAATAATAAAAAAAGCGTTAAAACTGAGTATGGAGCCAAAACGAGTTTAAAGTGTTAGATGTAGAATTGGTGAAGTATAACAAATAGAGAATCTCCCTCTTTAAAAACCAGTTGACAAAATTGGTGAAGTATAAGAAATAGAGAATCTTCTTCTTTTAAAACCAATTGACAAAGGACATAGATTTAACATATTACAGATATGCTCATTCGTATTGCGATTTTACATCAATATAGGCCTCTTGTCTGATTACTGAACGGTAGCTCTTCCTTATCAATATGTTTAAATTATAATATTCATTTACTGTATGAGGCATGGAGATAAGAAACAATCAAATAAATTTGTATTTTAAAACAATAACAGTAGGTAATAGAAAGTAAGAGAAAAATATATTTTTAAATCTAACTTACACATATAATTTAATATCTAGTTACAATTCTAGCCTACTCCTTACATCTGATGCTTAATCAATACACTGCACTCAGTATATAAATATATAGATAAGAAAATAAACTAAGTACCGTGGGAACATGCGAGCGTCGGTACAGATCCCGCCTTTTAGACAATCACTCGAAACTAGAGCTCAAGAGCAAAGTTAAAAAAAATATAAATTGTTATAGAGTTTATATAATCTAAAAAATATATATAAATATGTATTAGATGAGTAGTACGGTCCTATCAAAAACTTATACAGTATGTAAAGGAGGCATATAAGTTTTATAGTTCAATGATCATACTTAACAAAACATATACATAGACAACTTTGACCAAGAGCTCCAAAAACACAAACTTAACAAAGGCTCAACGAATCCTAACAGCCTAAATATATATAAATATCATTAATACTAAAAGAAGACAGTAATGGTGCAGATAATCAAACGGTATATATGTAAGATATATATATTGGAAAACTGTAAACTCCACACTAAAGAACCATACAGATATTTCTATCGAGAAGTAATACAGTCTTAAATATAGTAAATAGTATATTTCAAATGCCATTATTAAAGAGAAATTTACATTAATAACCAATGACACTATTATCTCAAAGAATATGTGATTTAATAACGAAAGGAGGCAAATACACATATTTCTAAACAAGAAAAGAAGAAAAAGTACCTACTTTTAATGTCTGTTCCTCACAAATAAAGCCGGCACCACACATTGCTTCAAATAGGTAATCAAATGTTTGTGAAGTCGCGATTCTTTACTTGGATAAAATAATTCTGCTTTGAGAATGAATTTAAAAATTGCAGAAATATTGTTTTGATTTCAAACGCACTCTACAGAATTCTAAAGTCTGCAATTGTGTGTGCTTATATTGGATTCCAGTCATTTAATGACCAACATATCTCTGAAATATAATCTCAATATAGATTTCAATCCAATGCTTTTTTATAATGTTCTTTTGAAACATAATCAAGATTAAATCAATAACAATGTCAGTTAATTATTTCACTGTGAATTAAAATATATCAAAATGTTTACAAATGTTCAAATTTTTGAAGCTATATTTGGCGTCGGGGTTATAAGCATTCTCGTTGGTTAGAGATATAGCAAAATAGATGTTGCAATTTGTCGCACTTAGCATGTCCTAGTGGTTGTAGTACGACTTTCTAAAACTTTTGTAGATAAAAGTTTTTAGAATTGATCTATATATTTATGGCAAGTAGTGATGACATACCTTAACATGAATCTTTGCTTATATCTGTAATTCTCATCTTATTTTAGGATAGTAGTCTAAAATCTCTATCATAGTAAAGTTGATCCCAAGAAATGTAATTGTCTAAGTTTTGATCTATCCATAATCAAAATTCTTTATAAAAAATTGATCGATAATATAAATCAACGTGGACTAATAGATATTAACGTCAAAGTCGATTTTTCTTTTAACCGAAGCCTCACAAGGCTGATGATTCAAAATAAAGTTTAAGTTTACAGTAAATAATTCTTTGAATGTTGCGAATCTATTTGTCTCACGCTTGCTTTGGATGAGGCGTTGGCGCTGGTGGTGATGGTTTGAAACACTGAAGTAAGAATGCTGTATACATTACAAATGCTATTGATAGCGCGATTAATGCATACATAAAGATATTCAGCTCCGGTTGTCTAAATCTGTTCTTTCGTAGCCATTCTAATACTTCTTCCTCAGACATCAGGTCACCTGTAATTAACATGATTCTGTTAGTGTTTGGATCTAACTTTTAAATAATTATTTTGTCATTGTTATAAAGCATACCTCTATATATACTTGGGAACCTTTTTCTAAAGTATACAATAGCAGGTAACTTAGTAACACCCCATTTCCGAGCATATCTGGGATCCTGCATTTTGACAAATGTGATATCCAAATTATCGGTTTCACTATCAATATTTTCTAATTTGTCCAGCACTAGACGACTCTCAACGGACTTTTCATCTAAAACAACATATGAGTTAAATTTGGGCATTACAATAATATTTTGACAGATTTAATAGTCATACTTACAGAAATAAACCGCTAAGAATTCATTCTCTTCTAATAGTTTATCTAACATCTTTCTGTTAACTTCTTCAATTTCATTTTTAATTTCAAAAACGTCCTGAGAAGTCAACCATTGTAATATTCTGTCTACTTGATGTAAGTCGCCATCGTAGAGCATCGGTACTTGCTTGCGGAAATATAAGAGAGATGGTATATTTACTACATTATATTTTTCTGCTGCTTCAGGGCTTGCTATTTTAACGAAGTCAATGCCATACTGATCTACTTCTCCATCGATTTGTTCTAATGATTCAAGAATCTCTTCACATTCTGGACAATCCTCATCATCATCTAAAAAAATATTGAAGTTATGAATATATACTAAAAATGTATTTATATAATATCAGTAAGAGATACATACAGAAGAAAACCACCAGTAAGTGTGATTCGTACAGTAGTCTTTCCAACATCCTCTCGTTAACTGATTCAATTTCGTCAGCTAGTTCCCGATTATCATCATCAATAAGCCATTCTAGTATTGACTCTTCATTTTGTAAATCACCTTCGAAAAGAAGAGGATTGCCATTTCTGAAATTATGCATTATTTATTAATCAATTAAATAGTTATATAATACTAAAAAAACTGAAAAATAATATTACCTAAAATAGACCATGGCTGGGAAAGTCTTTATGGAATACCGCTTTGCTAGTTGCGGATCTTGAATTTTTACCATGTGAATACCATAAACATCGCATTCGTCGTCGATACTTTCCAATCCATCCAAAATGTGATCGCATATATGACAGTTAAGTTTATCTGAAATATTTTTTGTACTTTACAATAGAGTATTGAAATTTTATGTAATATTAGTCTTATTAGAAAATTAACAAATATTTACTAAAATAAATGTCTCAAATTCACGACTTTTTTAAAAAGAAATGAAAAGAAATGTTATATGTAGCACTTTAAGTTTTTTAATTAAAGTGCTACATATAACATTTCTCACATCAAAAGTGTCCTTTACTTACAAAAATATACAGCTAAGTACTGAGTTTCCTCCACCATTTTTTCTAACATAACTCTAGTTATTAGTTCAATGCGATCTTCAGTTTTTTGGGTTATCAACCATTGTAGAACCTCCTCTTCCTCTGCCAATGCTCCTTCATATACATTAGGTATGTTTTGTTCAAAATAAACAAGTACAGGGAAATCCGTTACTCCATACGATTCAGCTATTGTGTAATCTTGTGTTTTGACAAATTTTATGCCATGTCGGTCGCAATCATCATCAATGTTTTCCAACTCCTCTAAGATCCCAGCGCATTGCTCACAATCAGGTCCATCTGTAATTCCCACATCTATTCCCAATTAAGCTGTTATGACAATTTGTCAGCAATCATACATGGTTGAAAAGTCTATGTTTAGGTAGTGTAAAATGAGTCTAACGTGTTTACAACACTCATCAATATACACTAGGACACAAACTTGCATATAGGTTCAATCTCTAAGACATACTAAAACAAATGAAAAGGCTACAAAAACATATACACAGAACTATAAGAAAAGAAGAAATTGGCTACAAGGTCTAAATTAAGGAAGTCGTGCCTCATGCAAGAGATATCTAATAACAACCGGTGGAAGACATAAAATGCCAATTATAAGCCTAAAGGGATATGAGTACCCTCCTGTTCCTGCCCTTCTTCCTCGTCATGGTCTCTGTCCTTCTTTTTCATTGACTTTCTCATAGTTTTGGAATTACAAATTTCGCATAACGTTTTATTCCCTAATAAGAAGCAAAATAGTTTTAATGAAAGTGTCTTTCATTTAGCATATTAAAAATAATAATTACGTATCTTCGGTTAAACACTAGGAAACGGAAAATTGCAATGTTTATTGTATTTTATTCAAATTGCTCTTTATTAATTGTCAACGAAAATATTAGGTTACTATTATATAAGTGATATTACAAATAGATAATATTTGAGATTTGAAAATCATTCGGTATTTCTTTTGAAAATATGAATATATCGAAACTATTTTTCTTAAGTATTAGTAACTGTTTTTTTTAATACACTTAAAGCAATAGGTATAATTATTACTCCATAACTACATATATTCTATATTATTATAGTCTTCTAGTATTATATTATGTAAGTATTATTTGAACAAAACAATAAATGTTCTGTAGTTAACTTACAAAAATAAACTGCCAAGGAATTTGACTCTTCAATTAAGTTAATTAAATCCTGTCCTTCCAGTGCTTCTATAACGTCACCAGCTGGATTTTTTTGTGTAAGTAGCCAACTCAATAACTGCTGTTCATCATACAAATCACCTGAAAATACCAAATTCGTGATTTGTTTTTATACTTTTATTTTCGTAAATTCCTAAAAAAATTTTTCTTACCAGCATAAATGACTGGATCCTTGGATCCCATCTTGAAAAAAAGTACTGCAGGAAGAGCAAATACTCCGTACTCTTTGGCCATGTTTCGATCATCAATCTTTACGAAATTGATACCAGCTCCGTCAGCGTCATCATCAATATGTTCAATCTCGGCCAACACTCTAGGACACTGTTTGCAGTCATTACTGTCTAAAACATGTAATATGTGCAATATAATCGAATTATTGAATCAATGTAATGAACTGTTTTGAAATTTAATGAAATGTGTAATTAATTTTATACTGTAGACAAATATAATAATAAGTTTTTAAAGACAATAATGTATTTAATACTCACAAAAGAATACTGCGACGTAGTCCGATGTTTGCCGTATCTTTTGAAACATTTTCTTGTTAACTTTTTCAATATGATCTGTGAGTTCCATGTTTTCGGGGTTAGTTAACCAATCTAAAATTTCCTCTTCATCATCTATATCACCATCGTAATTTATATATTTGCTCTTTCTAAAGTACGTAATGCCAGGTGGATTGCGGAAGCCATATTTCTTTGCCATCAAGCGATCGTTACATTTTACTATCTTTATTCCATATTCAGCAGCTTCGTCATCGATCAATTCAACATGCCGTAAAATTCGAGGACTAGCAGGATCTTCTTCTTTATCTGAAGTATTAGCCAATTAATTAACAATTTCTTATATACTAAAAAATATATAATTTTAATCAGTTTATGATACAATTATTATTCTAAATTACTTACAGAAAACAACAGCTAAAAATTCCTTTGTTTCTATGTATTTGAATAACTTATCTCTATTTATTTCTTCTATACTCTCATCTTCTTTTTGTTTGACCATCCAATCTAATACCTCTGATTCGTCCAATAGATTTCCTAAAATATTTTCATAATTATTGCATGCTGAAAATCCTATCCTCTAAATATTGTCATAAAGAAACCACATCCATTTTGTATTTTAAAACTCACCAGTATGAATCCAGTGTATGGGCATGCGCGGATATAACTACAGCAATATCATGCTGACATCATTCATGTGTGAAATGAGTAGTTAAAATTTAATAGAAAATGTATTTATTTAACAAAAATTGATTCAGCGCCGACTCAACAATTAACGTAACAATATAAATAAACATCCATGCGAATTTTCGGCCAAACAATACATCTTACATACCGACATAGTATCACACAACGCCAGCACTATTACAATTTGAAATAAATTTAGCCGATTAGAACACATTTGGTATTTTGGCTATCATTTAACATAAAATTGATCATTACTAAATTCATTCCAAGACAATAAACCATTGGAACTTTTAGTAACTAGCTTTACAAAATCAATAAATAAATAATTTGCCACAATTTAATATACGTATTATCATAGAACAAATCAAATGACAGCAAAAATAACAAATTCAATAGAATTGGTCTAGACCTTGTTTAATGAATTAGTGAATAAAAATAGTGATTACCACAATATATTATGAAATATATGGCACTGCCTTTTGAGAAAGAATAAGACCATAATACATATATTATATAAAAATATATATTCTGTATATTTTTCTAATATTATATAAATTAAAAGTTCAGGAAAAATAATCATTAATCAAGTATATAAATTATAATGAGATTCCATGAAGACTAGAAAACTATATGAACATGAAATCCTTACAACGATAAGTCTTTCAAGATGGCACGGCAAAAAACATTAAAATGCCTTTATGTTGTTATATTAATTCACCTATAATTGCTAAATATTGGAATCAATTTACAATGAAAATAACGATTTGTACATCTGCTTATAATGTCTCTAAATATATTCTACTCCAATATTTAGTCTCATTGCATGCTTGAATTGAGCTCATAAAGCACAGTACTTTTCTAAAGGATTTTGTTGAACTGTACTTGCATTTTAGTCAGTCTCTCTGCTAATGTTGAGTTTTACTAAAGTTTGAGACAGACTTATATTATTAATATTTCACGAATCTGTGAATACAGTACATGTGTCATTTGTTACGATACTGAACGCAGTTAAGTGCTTGCAGGAATCAAGGGACACGAGGTTAAAGCTAGCAATGTTAATATGCGATGACAAATAGATGCGTAGTTAGATCATACTATTTTATTAGACTAAGGTAAAATACCAAAGTAGGTAGTTAAGGATTTACAACAACTGACAATGATAACATTCGTGTCCACTTGATGCCTTCCGTGCACGTCACCTGATTTACACTAACATCTATTTAGACATTACTGCAAATGAATTTTTAGAATAACAGTTTTGTAATTTACCACCACCAAGTATTTTCAGAGTCGAATAAACCTTTTTTTCCTTTGGAGGCTTTGTCAGGCTTGGACGCGAGGGCCTTGTTTTTGCCCTTAGCTGGCTTCTCCGGTTCCGCTCTCTGTTTGTCCTTTTCAAGTTTCTTGGATGTCACCTTTGTCGGCGTTGCTTTGGCTACTTTGGTTGGGCTTTGGACTTTAGTGGGACAGCACTGGTAGGGTTCGTAAGTCATTTTTGGGACAGCTGGTTTCGCTCCCAATCCAATGTAGAAACAGCGATCGCCTGCAGTCAGTAAAAACCTGTTGTTTATACCCGTATAAAAATAATCAGAATATTTAGTTAACTGCGAGTTAATACTGTGCATATTTATATCATAGGCGCCTGTTTGTTATGCGCGCTATTAATTCTAATGAATTGTTAGTAAGTATAAGAATTGAAAACATTTAAACTGGTAAGCGTTCGCGAATGACTGCAGGCGACAGCTATAGTGATAGGACCCATTTGACCATGCAGATGTGTGATGGTTGGGGTATCCGTGCCTCCGTGCGGGATCACCTCTGGGTATGCTTAACGCTACTCATTACCTGTAAACATTCGTTTTATTCTACCAAAAAAACCGATATCTTCGTCATCTTCCTCGTCATCATCTTCGTTATTAGTAGTTTGACGATGGACTTTTCTACCTACATTTAACTTCCGGATTTTCTTAATTGTTCTTCTATTCTCTTCATCGTTATCATTATCCTTGTCATCATCATCGTCGTCGTCATCATCGTCGTCATTATTGTCGTCATCGTCGTCATTATCGTCATCGTCATCATCATCGTCCTCATCGTCATCATCGTCGTCGTCGTCATTATCATCGTCGTCGTCGTCGTCATCATCTTCGTCGCCGTCTTCGTCATCGTCATCTTCGGCGTCGTCATCATCATCATCTTCGTCGTCATCGTCGTCGTCATTGTCATTGTCATCATCATCATCGTCATTGTCATCATTTTTGTCATCATCATCATGATTGTTAACCAATTGTTTACCAGATTTATTACCAGGATAACGAATTTTTAATTTTCCGACTGATTTCCATGTTGCTTTTTCATTTACATTTTTTAATTTTAATATATTTTTAATTTTTGATTGTAATTTGTCTTTTATAGTGTCAGTATCATCCTCACCTTCGTCATTGTCGTCATTGTCATTATCATCTTCATCGTCATCTTCTTCGTCCTCGTCATCTTCGTCATCCTCTTCATCATCGTCATTATCATCGCCATCCTCATCTTCTTCATCGTCGTCATCATCGTCGTCATCATCATCGTCATTATCGTGCTTACTAACTTTAACCTTATTAACTGGAGGGATCTTGTTAGTAGTCTTGCTAATAGAAATTCCAGTTTTTACACCTCCTGCATTCTTTACTTGGAGGATTTGGTCATTCCTTGTAATGCTTTTAGTTTTTGTAGACCCTGAGGCTTTTCTATCACCATCTGCACTGGCCTTTGATTTAGCATTAGCTTTAGAAGATTTTCGATGTCTATCTTCACCTGCAGGCATTAGTAACTGTCATGCAAAATGACATAGCTCAAACATCCAGCATTTAAGGCATAAACTAGTCTCATTTTAAAAAATAGAAATCAAGAATGATGTCATGCACATAATAAATTAAGAATCAGTTTAACTATTATGTAATATATCCTATGACCATTATAGAGATTTTACAACAAAAGTTAAATGGATGTGGATTCTTACTTTTTTGATCAACAAGCCACTGGAGTACCTTATTTTCATTCTTTAAGTCACCTATAAATATGATAAAAACATTAAATATTTCGAAATCTAAAACATACGCTTTCTGTCAGTTGAAAAATAATTGTTGTGAAATGGTAATAAATAGTAATATACATACGAATATATACATACATATTCATATATGTATCTATATATATCACTATTACTATTTATGAGTAAATAATTGTAAAACCAAAGAAGAAACAGTACAATGAAATAGAAAAAAAGAATATATAAATGTTACATACCATCATACATAATAGGAACACCAGTTTCATAGTAAACTAAAGCTGGAAAACTGAAAATTCCAATATCCGATGCCAATTTAGAATCCTTTGACTTAACAAACTGAATACCATGCTTATCCGTATCATCATCAATGGTCTCTAATTCTTCTAAAATTTCGTCACATGTATCGCAATCTTCACTATCTGTGAAAACATGACAGACGGTATATATTTTTACTGTTTAAATATTACACATCAATCTATCTTTTAGTATATGTTTATATACAATATACGCGCTTAATTAATATCGTTCTTGAATGTATTCTTAGATAATACGAGACAAATATACAATTCATAGTGACTGTATTTATTCTTCTTTTGCATTTTAAAGCACATATTCATTTTACTCACAGAAAAATACAGCCAAGTGTTCTACATCATCAATGAGATCTTTTAGCGTTTTCCTGTCAACATTTTCTATGACATCCGGTTGAGAATCATGAAGATCTAAAACCCATTTCAGAATAGCCTCCTCATGCATCAGATCGCCATCATATATTGTTCTGAATTTATGCCTGTAAAATGCTAAAGACGGTAAATCGGAGAGATCATATTCTTTGTCGATTCCTTCATCAGATGTCTTCACAAAATCGATATCTTTTTCTTCACATTCATCATCAATATTCTCTAATTCGCTCAAAATTTTTTGCGATTTTTTATCGCCTTCCTGATCTAAAATAAAAAAAATACACTTTTATCATAAATTCTCTTACGGAAAATAGTTTCATGTGGCGATAATACTTACAGAAAAAGACAACGACATGGTCGTTTTCTTCTAATATCTTTTCCAACATCCTTGAATTGACTTCTTCAATTTTACCAGGAATTTCGAGAGTATTTTCATCTGTTAACCAGGATAGAACTTCATCCTCATCTTCAATATCACCTAAAATGAAATATGAAAAAAATGTTTATACCTAATTAGAATATAGGTATGACAAAATAATCAGATTTATAAATGAAAATAAAAAACCTAATTTATCAACTATACTTACATACCGGCTATCTGATAATACACTACTATAGACTCTGCCGTTTCTATCATAGTTTGTTATTAGTGTTCAATTTGATACTTCAATAAAAAATGTGTGTGAACTAAGCCTATGAATGAATATAAATTTTAAAATATTAGCTGTACCTTTATATATGAGTGGATCTTTATTTCTGAAGAATACGAGAGCAGGGAAGGTCTTAATTCCATATTTTTTAGCAAGAGATATGTCTTCTGTAGTGACAAAGATAATGCCAGTCTCATCCAGTTCATCATCTATATTTTCTAGTTCATCTAAGATATTATCACACTCTTCACCTTCTTCGCAATTTCCACCTATAATCAATAAAAAATAATGTCACTAGCATAAATCTCTTTAATATTTTACAATATTATTTTATTTGACATATCAATGTTCTCTCAAACAATAAAAAAATATATACTTACTGAAGTATACGACGACATATTCATGTTCCTCAATGAGGTCGCTTAAGATTTCATCTGTAACCTCCTCAATAGTTGCGCTGTTTTTTTGTTCGATTAGCCATTCTAACACTTCGTCTTCATTCATTAGATCTCCTTCATAAATTGCAGGAATATTTTCTTCGAAATATACTAAAGTAGGAAGATGGTCTATACCAAATTCCTTTGCTTCCGCCTCATTATCCATTCTTACTATTACAATGCCTTCTTTCTCTAATTCATCATCAATATTTTCAAGTTCGTTAAGGATCCTAATGTCTTGCTTATCATCTTTGTCATCTGCGTTATAAAAATAAACATTTAATTATTTGTAGTTGTTATAACAACGATGTCAGCTGTGTAAAAATTATGAATTATCGTTTTAAAATTATTTTATAACATAACACATATCCTTATTTTCTATATTTCAAAGAAAAAATATTATCAATAGAAAAGAGATAAGATATTAAAAATTAACTCCAACTATCATTTAATAAATAAGTATATTTTTTTTAAGAATGTACTTACAAAATATTACTGCCAAGTAAGGTGTCGATTCAATTAGTTTATCCATCATTTCATCCGTTACTTCAGGTATTTCACTGTGGCGTTTTTGATGAAGCAACCATCCCAACAATTCATCTTCTTTCATCAAATCACCTTCGTAGATATGCGGAATGCCCTTTTCAAAGAACACCATTGTTGGAATAGTCTCAATACCATATTCTTTAGCTTCAGCATCGTCATCGATCTTTACAAAGGCAATGTCATTTTGATCACATTCATCATCAATATTTTCTAACTCAGATAATATTTTTTGGCTCTTCTTTTGGTCTTTGTCGTCTGAAATTAATTTGAAAGACTGTATTTCATTTATATGTCAGTTCTGAGCTGAATAGTAAAGAGCTGAATACTAAACGACAAACATAAATTATCATAGAAATAATTTTAGAAACATGAGGTAAGTAATTTAAAAATTTGGCATTATTTCAAATTTATAACACCATGATAAGACCACGTGTAGTATAGAAATACTTACAGAACAGTACAGCGACATACGGCATTTTTTCGATTATCAAGTCAAGCATTTCATCAGTAATGTCTTCAATTTCATCACTTTCAGATTGATATCTTAGCCATTCAAGAACTTTTTCTTCTTCTTCAAGGTTACCCTCGTAATAAGTTGGAATGCCCTTTTCAAAGTATAACAAAGTCGGAACTTTTTCTATACCATATTCTTTGGCTTCTTCGTTATTATCAATCTTTACAAATGCAATGCCGAGTTGATCACATTCATCATCAATATTTTCCAGTTCACCTAATACTTTCTGAGATTTCCGATCATTATTATCATCTACGGAAAGATACAAATATAAATAGTATGTAGTCAACTAAACGAAAGTCAAAAAAAAAATACAAAACAGAATTTTGAAAAATAAATTTAGATAATGTCTATTCTGACTAGATAAAAATTGGTGTTTAAGTTATTTATATTATTAAACATTTGTTACCACAACTGCTACTTTTAAGGAACTACAGATGCTAATATGTATGATTTTAGAATGAAAAGAAAGAAGAATAAACTTATAAAGTTACCAGAATATTTAAAATTACTTACAAAATAACACGGCAACAGTTTTTCCGTCTTTAATGAGACGATCAAGCATTTCATCGGTAACATCTTCAATTTCATCTTTCTCCAGCTGACCTACCAGCCACTCTAAGATTTCTTCTTCATTCTCTAAGTTTCCTGTGAATAGAAAAAATATATAGAGTTTTATAATATTGGACTCAAAAAAATATTTCTACATGCGATAGTAAGACTATTTCCATAATATACTTCATGGAAAATCTTACCGTCATAAACGTTGGGGATCTGCTTTTCAAAGTACACGATAGATGGCAAATCATCAATGCCAAAAGCTTCTGCCGCCTTTGTATCATCGATTTTGACGAACTGTATACCATGCCGGTCGCAATCGTCATCTATTTTCTCCAACTCTCCCAAAACAGTCATGGAGTCTTCATCGCCGTGATCATCTGAAAAAACATGGTAAAAAGATAATAATAAAAAGCAGATCTAATGACTGAATAGATTTTTACTCTAATATGTACGTATAAATATAATATGTACACAACTGTGTACTAATTATATTCGTAAATTAAGAGTAATCGTAAATTCTTTGAGTCTAAGCTCAAAGGCAAAAATTTACAAATTTCCACTGGTTAAAAATAAAATATTTAGACTATGTATATCTTGAATTATTCAAGAATACAGGGACAAAAGAATCAATAAGGATTATCGACTGCATACACTCATTTTTTTATATAAATCTTTAGACACAAATGTATAAAGATTTATATAAAAAATATATTAAATGTTTTATTATTGCTTATATTATTAGTATAGATAAACTATAACTTACAAAATAATACTACAAGATTGTCTACGTTTCCAATAAGAGTGTTAAGCGTTTTAGATGTAACATCCTCAATGACGTCCTCTTCGTCTCCAGTTGACTTGTTTGCAATCAGCCATTCCAGTACATCTTCCTCTCTGCTCAGCTCACCTAGAAAGTATCATTTATTACTATTTAATCCTATATAAACATCTTATGAGATCCTTTTATCAATCCAACAGTAAAATAAAATGAGATGTTTGAAAAATTAGTTTAATTGTGGTCACATTACTTATACGGGATCAACAATGTTTAAATAAAATCTTTGATTCTATATATAGAGTTACTAAATTTTTAAATTTAATACATATTTTCAATTCTCTTTAAAATTGTATGTCATGAATTATAAAATATCTTTTGTAATAATATTTTTTTAATATATGTAATCTCTTTATATAATAAACTTTTCTAACAGATATATCGATACGTCAAGCTTTTGAGTTATAATATGGTTGAAGAATGAGATGTATTATATAATGATTACCGAATAGTCCGGTTTAACGTAGGCGAAGTTTAAGTTAAACAATATATATTCGTATATATAAACTTACATGGCCATTTAAAACGTATCAGGAAATTAGAAAATATATTTTAGTAGACTGAGGTGTTCGTTAAAACGAATTCAAATGAACCTTACATAAGGTGTAATAAAACTCATGTTCAACATTTGATCTCAACTATATACCACAATTCACTATCTAGTTTCGTAAATCTAATGTCAGTAACCGTAAAAATGACTCACAAACCTTCATAGATAATAGGTATTTCATGCCTGTAGTACACTAATCTTGGCAAATCTCCAAGATTGTACTCCTCGGCTAGTTCCTCGTCGTGGATCTTTACGAAGCCAATTCCAAGTTGATCAGCCTCATCATCAATGTTCTCCAGCTCTTGGAGAGCTTTAGCACATTTTTTGCATTCGGGCTTATCTGAAACATGTTGAAAAATATAATGAAATTTTATAATATTAAACCCTCGATTTCGGTCTCCAATTTTAATTTCCTTAGTCATGCTTCTGGGATAAGAAGCAGTGCAGTTAATGCAGTGCATAATAGAATATTGTCTCTTAAAGTTTAATGTGTGTGTGTGTGTGGCAATAAGCTAAGTCGTGCAATTTGGAATAGGGTTATTTCTAGGTATGTTTGTAGTTTGTATAACATGCCTTTCTAATATGAACGTTAAGTGTGTATATATATAGTATAAATACATTAAAAGCGTAATAAGGAAGGACCGCAAAATGAAGTCTATTGCGAAAACTCTCACTGACTGTTCTAATCACAATGATTCAAATAGTTGAATTATTCTGTACTATCATTTGTGTTAGTAATATTATTAGTTTCATTTTCAGTAGGTTGATTTTCATGTCTTTTGCTATAATACAGCAAAGGACGTAAACGTCAAGTAAATTCTATTATCCAGTGATGTTTTGGATGCTAGTGTAAACAAATTTTATATTATGTGAGCATGCTGTTGTAAATGCGTTATTTTTCCATGAATTATTTGGGTCAAGGTCATCATATTCTATTTTAATTTTGAATACAATTCTAGTGATGGTCAGTAGATTGTAAAATGTACTATTTTATGTGATTTGAACTGTTTTATAACTGACTTTCGTGTTGTTAAGGAGTGTGGGCTCATGACAAGTTGGTCCGTCAATCCCAGCCTGCTGCGAGACACAAATAGCGCGGCAGAAATAGCTCGCCTCACGGCCCGATAATGCAAACGCGTTTTTGTTTCTGCCTTTCCCTTAGACCAGAGTTCGGACAGACAGACAAATGATAACGTTGAGTAGCTGATTGTTCAATGCTAATAATACATTAGACTAATGAGAATTCACGCTGTGGTGAAATTAAATTAATTTGCACAAAGTAATAATTAGAAATTACCTAAGTACATTTATATTGAATCAATGAGTATGATAGTGATAAATGTGAATAGTGATGTGAGTAATTGATAGACCGATAATAGATTCGTATTTTCACAATGAATCAATCTAAGAACTTTTATTTTGTACTACTGCCAAGTATTTAATTAGCCAAATTAATTATCGATTGTTCATAAACGGTGACATTTTAATTTGAGACAACCTACTACCAATGGTCTCGTGGTTTAATCGTTCGCAAATAAAGCGAGAAGCACGTCTGAAACATAAAATATTACAATACTATGTACTACGTAAAGCAAGAATCAGCCAAATCGACATAAAAGGGGCATTCCGCCAGCTACGAATCTTACTTACTGTTTGATGGGCCGCAACTTTTGTGATCGGGACCTACGTCAAAAACACAGTCAAAACAGACGGCACAATTTATGGGTCTCTAGAATATGGTACAGACTTAGTAAAGACGACAGACCCTAAATTGAGGGTTTATTATAACAGAATTATCAGTAAAAACTTTAACACCATGTTTCCACCAAACAAATTAATATTAGATATATATAGTTCCATATAAAAAAATTGATTTCATTTTATGACATTATTATAAATTTTTGCACTAAAACTGTTAACACAAGACTAGTATCTTAAATATAATAGAATCGGACTGGAGTCGGTGAGAAAGTCGAGAGAAGACAGGTATTTATAGGAGGCATAGGTACTCAATAAAGCAGAAGTTAATATAGCTGAGGAAATGTTCTTAAATTAATAATAAATTAATAGATACATATTAATGAACCAATATTATTTAAAAGAATTTCTAAAGCAGTATAAGACGGCTAATTTACATTTTGGTGGAAACTAGGTGTTAGACCTGGATGTTAGTCAAGAAAACGCTGGACTTTATCACGATAGGTACATAGTTTAACAAATTAAAGAACAGAACACATAAATAATTAATCAATGTGTACTTACAGAAGAGAACAGCGACGTAATTGGTGTCCTCGATGATTTTAGACAGGATCTTCTGGTTGACTTCTTCTATCCGATCAGGAAGGTCCATTGCTTCTAAACTCGTCAAGAAATCCAGGACGCTCTCTTCGTCCATGAGATCTCCTAGAATAGGTTTAAATATAGATATCAAATAACAATTATACAACAAAGCTTTCAGTATACTACTATAGTAAAGGTGATACAAAGCTGATTTTCTTTAAAAGAAAATAAATATGGTAAATGTTTTTTATAATTACCTAATTGGTATTAATAAAAAAATTGGAATATATTATAATTAAAATAATGTGAAGAACATTACAGTGTAGTTTCGATACTACTTATAATATAGTAACGACCACGCAGTTTTAAAAAATATGTAGTAATTCCCACTTTCCTTCTGTTGGGTTCAATATCATTAATACAGTTACTGGCTTTAGGATTGCAACACCCCATAGTAATTTTAAAACAGTAAGAGCAGTGTTTTTTAACTTCTACTCATCTGAAACTACATTCCTAAATGACGGTAGATTTAATTATTCTGTGATAAATGTATTTGATTTGATAAAGTGAAACATTGTTCTCCAACGCCATCTAGTATGATGTATCTGGTTAAATCTAAATTATAATCGTATTTTAATGCATTTAGTTTTATTACCACACCTGGAAACTGACGAAAAGATATGTAGAAGAGAGATAAATTCAAGAAGAACATCCGATTAGCGTCAACATGTACCGAAGTGAAGTGAAGTGAAGACGTTTTACTGGATTTATAGCAAACGTGTTTACCGTAATAAAGAACATAAACTTTTTTAGTATTTCACTGCTGTTTACTGTGTGCACTTTACATACGTGTAGCTGTTCATATTACGTTCCAAATATTAGTGTAACCGTTTTGCTAGCCTTTTAACTTTATAATCAATCTAAAAGTTGTGTATACGAAACGTAATATGAAAATTAATTACTTGACTTGGTGTTTATTTTATTTATTTATTGAACTGCTTCTTGCATTAAATTACATACTGTATCGCTGCTTTGATCCCTAAACATTTTTCTCATACATATAACATATAACAAAATAGATTTTCGTGAGAGTGCCTAATGTAGAGTCAAATATTAATATACAAGGTAAGACTACACAATTCAAGTATTGTCATAGAACTAAGGTGTTAAGCCTCTGTAATTTCACAGGTATTTCTGACTTTGCATACCTTGGAGCAACTGCTGAATATAAGAAAACTCCTGTACATAAACAAGTTGCAAAAAAAGTAATAGAATTAGATATTCATTTACTAAACAAGTTGTTTCGTACCCGTCATTGGTTAATAATTGTCATTAATTTGAATCCAGCCGCCGACAAAAAAATTTGTGGGAATTATTTCTGATATCAATGTCTCCATATTTCCAGTGATATAAATACCAATAACAAAGCAAAATTAATCCGAGAGAATGTGGTAGGAACGTCCCCTGTTATTTTGAAATCAAATATATCCAGTGTACTGTGGTCATGTCTTTTTTCGGACTACTCTAATGCTGTTGGCTGCAGCTAGCCTTTACAACGGACGGTAAGGCAAGTCCAGATGGCACTCTAAACCCGGAAGGAGTGTAGCAGCTTATAGAGCGACTTATTGTTGAAGGTTGGTTGAAGGCCAACTCCCGCCTAACGGATACGACTTTAGTCTGAGGGCACTGCTAGGGCATAGGCCGACGTAATTTCTATCCCCGTTTGAATCGGACTGGGGGTCAATCGAAAGGAGTGGATAATTATTGGCTTCAAGATGACATCGACAGTTGACTGCTCCATCTGGGATCGTCGCACAAAATTTTTGTCAAATTTCTAGATTTCTAAAATGCATATTTATTGCTAAGTTGCAATCGAGTGTATCATATTTTATTATTAATAAAGCAAATAAACAAAATGTAGTATATTTTATTTATTTGCATTTTAGGAATAAGCACAATCGATAGAAATAATAATTAAAAATGAATGAAATGAAGAAATGACATACGACAAATAAGCATGAACCTCCTCAGAGGCGGACTAAGGCCAAGACAACCTAGGTACATACCTAGTATGTATGTGACTTGACTGAAAAATAGACCCGGAATTACAATGTTACCTATGGCTAGCTTGAGCCTGAGTCCGCCACTGTACCTCCTCCATTTGGAGTCGTAACTATGTAGTTTACCTTCGTAAATAATCGGTTCCTTCTCACGGAAATACGTGAGGGCGGGGAATTTCGTGATGCCATACTGCTTCGCGAGCCGCTTATCGTTGATCTTCACGAAGTCCACTCCGAAGGTGTCCGTGTCGTCGTCTATCTTCTCCAGCTCCTCCAGCACCTTGTCACATGTCACACAACTCCTTGCATCTGTATATGAAAGGTATATATGTTACATTAAATTTATCGGTGGTATAGTGGTTAACACACCGCCTTATTTCCCATGGGCACGGGTTCGATCCCTCGCACAATGTAAACATTTGGATTCATGAGTATAATTATATTATGGATGTATGTACAAAAAAAATGTAAAGAATTATTCCATCAGTTGTCTGATACCTAATAATTGGTTATTATGGGGACAAGGGGATTTTTAGTAAACCTTATTGCTATATAAAATATATGTGTCAGGTTGACATTCACGCTTTCTGCTCTGGAAAGCATAAAATTAAATTGTTGTGAATTTGTCACATACGCCTAACTGACCCGACCTCATGATCCTACACATCATGTCCCCGCCAACTTAAACCATTAGCGAAGGCTCGTCTAATTTCAACAAGATTGGGTTATTAAATTAATGATGATTTTTATTTAATTGTGTATAATTCAAATTATCAATTGTAAAGAAATTTCTAACTGGGATCGAATTCTGATGTCGGTTGCTGTTCGTCGGTTACGATAGACAATGGTTTTGATAGTTAAGTCTCGACGTTTCGAATTTAAATTTTTATACGAATTAACGTAACACAGATTGTTAATGATTATTTAATCATTAACAATCTGTGTTATGTTAATTCATCAGTAATGTCATCAGTATACGGGCATTGATACTTACAAATATTACATACTAGTTACTTCGATTCGTAAAACTTTTAATTAATATATATTCTCGGCTTCTGAAACCGAAATTCGAAACAATGCAGCATTGGTAGGTATAGAAGACATATTCAGCTTCAGAGCACAGAACTCTGTAAGCATTTCTAATCACAATTTGTAATACAAATATTGTCACAGTTTTTCGAGAGAATATTTTTTTTATTACGATAGCGAGCAATGCCTCTAAAGTCATTGTCATAAAAGACTTCATTTTATTTTTAGCTAAACTATAATAAGTATTTTGATATGTTATTTAGGTTATTACACTATAACCTAGTTCAGTTAAAAATATCGAACTGCCATTCCAGTTTCAAGGATGTGATTTCGGTGATCTTAATTTATAATAATAAAAATCATTTATTCAACAAAATACAGAGTGAAAATATAGAAAAACTTAAAAGCTAATATCGCGCTATGAGTTGAAAGGGCCTGTACTCAGTTGGTTTCGCAGCGTGTCACTGCAGCGCTAATTTTCAGTGGAATCGCCACTCGAAAAAAGAAATAGCATTCTTGATATTTTTTTAATTTAAATATATAAAATGTCCCTAATTAGTTTCAAATAAATCGATTAAGAAATCAAGATCACTGACAAAATATCTTTTATCATAATCGTTTCATGTGATTTTGGTGCGAGGGAAGAACATTCGGAATTAAACGTCATAATTATAATATGTACTAAGTACCTGTTGTGATTTTCTAAAGAGACTTTAACATACTACATTGTTGCGGTAACACATTAATAGGCGTTATATTTTTCTTTATCATAAGCACCGATTCCTAAAAGGTAGTCTAGGAAAGCCTGAGCACCGATTCCTAAAAGGTAGTCTAGGAAAACCTGAGGTTCCATGAAAAGGTCAGAGCAGGCTGTCCAAATGTTAACGAAAACATTCAGGAATAAGCATAGAATACTACTTCTTTGTGCCGATTATAAGTTTTTTGAACAATACTCAAACTAGAAGGTAAATACAGGAGTCTAAATAGCCAGCTAGAATTGCTCCATTATTAAAAATAATATCAATTACGGTCGCACGGCCAAATAAGTGGGAATCTTTGATTTGAAAAAGTTTAATACCTAACAAGGTATTAAACTTTATATTATATATAATATTATTAATATATATTCACATAAGAAAACCTACTTACATAGTAGTAGGTTTTCTTATGTGAATATATATAACGTAACTTTAAGTGGATATGGTAATGGTTATATTGACGGCCTCGGTGGTCTAGCGATTTAGCACCATTTCATTTTCCCTTCACGATACAAACATATCTATTCATGAGTATGATTGTTGTATCGGTCTGGGTGTTTTCTATGTATAATATGTATGTATTTACTAATAAAAAACTATGTAGTTGTATCAGTTGTCTAGTACCTATATCTAAATGGCGCTGTGTGAATTGTCTTGAGATTATTGTTATTATATGTTGTTTAAAGAAGTATATATAATATTTAATACTAGCTATCCACCCTGGCTTCGCACAGGTCTACATATATATTACATAAACATAAACATTTCTCTTAAATCAATCTATCTATTGCTTCAAACTGCATTAGAATCCGTTGCGTAGTTTAAAACATCTAAGCGAACAGGCCGCGGATGTGACATCATTTTATACTGTGTAAAGATATCGTAGTACGCAAGACTGGAAAAAAGCTGTAACTCTATATATAGCATACTCATTCAAAGATTTATAAATAACCAAATTCGTACATACGTAGCTCTTCACACATTTACCACTGATTTGAAGAACTGCCAAAATGTGGCCGTGTAACGTAATGTGTGTTCATTGTGAAAGTTACCCATTCATCGCTATTAATAAGTATAAGTTACGTTATTGTTACTAGGTATATCAAGATATGGCCAGCAACCTAACACTATTATCTATACAAATAAATAAAATTAAAGTGTCTGTTTGTAATTTCAAATTAACAGCTGTTCACTAAATGCCTATGAAAATATTCCAGTTGCGGGTAACAGCTAGTCAATAATATAACAAAATAAACATACAGACTTATTTTAATATTACAGTATTCGTTTTTTTTTAATTTTTAATGTAATTGAAATGTCAAGCAAGCAGACGGTCCAATTTATGTTAAGTAATATCGATCAACCCAGATTATTTTATCCCAGATATATTACAAGGTACTTCAATCCTAATTAATATAGGCAAATTATATAGATACAAGTTGATACAACTAATCTAAGACAATAATAGAAACACTGTACTACCAATGCCTGTGAAGTGCTGTATTTCGGTATTGTAATAATATGTTTTGACTATTAAAATTATGATTTATTATGAACTTTTATACAATAAAAACAGAACTATAATACAATTAAAATATTTTACAAAGAAATACACAAGAAACAGTCTTATCACCTAAGCAATCTTTTCCAGACAACCTTATGTTAAATAAGAAATGACGGAAGGAGATATATGGCGCATGAATGGAATAGTAGATAAGTAGAAAGATAGTTAGTTAAGGTTTTTAAATCAAATAATAATGAAAATTTTTGTTTAAATGTTTATTACTCAATATCGTATCAACATCCTTGAATAATTGTCAAAAATAATGTCTAAGTCCTAGATTAACAAATAGGATAGGTATTTTATATCTCAATTCACAATTCCACCGTAGACAACGCCGCGAGAAATAGCTAATAATGTGCATATGAAATAAAGATAAGTAGGCATGCTGTTATAAATAAAATAACTATGGAATGTGGCATAATTTTACAACTTTTACAAGAGTTCTGCGTCAGCGTTAGACGCAGACACGACCATCGAAAATTTACAATGAATCATGCAAATAAACACAGCGCTCTGAAATATTGACGGACAGTTTATAAGATAGCTAGTTGTCTATTTTGATGGGAATCTTATGTGTTCAATAGTTTCATTATGTAACCCTGTTTTATTCTTTTCGTATTAAAAACGCAAAGATTTTGCAATTAAATATAATTTAACAGTTATAGCTGTAACTCTGTAGTCAGCTGTAAGATATATAATTTCTCTCGTATATAATCCATTACTGAGGATTAAGATTTAAATTTTATTTTTTTAGACCTTCGGAATGGCAATGTATGATTAGTATTACGGAAATGAAATATTGACATGATTCTTAGACTTTTGGACATGACCTAAAAAAATTCAGGTTATTTAAAATAAGAAATCTTCATCGAAGTCAAAGTCAAAAATTAGGACACTTTTGGTTACTTACGTAAATCAAATTTTATATCTATCTACATATCTACAAGTTTGGCTTGCTACTTAAGTTGAGAAGAACTGACATGAACTACTATATGTTTTAAGATATCAGAGTTAATATTTAAAAAAAATAACAGCGTTTCTATAGTGTCTATTCATATAATAGTCATACTATTTCAAATATTGAAAATCCCTTGTCTGAACCATTAACACCTTACAACGTTTTCACCCAAGTAAACGTTTACAGAGAGGCTATATTGAATAAGTCTTTCTTATTATATATTTATATCTTTCGGTATCAGAATGTAGAATTTTGCCAATAAAAGACGTATGAACTTATGTAAACGGAATTTTTAAAAACCGTTGTTATAATAATCAACGATCAAAAAAATATTTGCAATACTGTTAATCTAAAGAGAAAATATATTGATGTAATGTATTATAATTAATAACTAACATTAGTGACATATATGATGTGTTGTATCCCATCTGCAACACAAATTTGACTTTCCCAGGCACATGTAATTTTAATACAGATTAAAAAACATCTATTATCTATGTATTTACTAAGGGGGCAATCACTTACCTTATAAGTCATAAGCACGCATTTCATTACCTAAGTATTATTTGTTCAGAACTAAATATTATATTGTGGTTGTATATTATGTGATTTAGAGAATACGAAATACAATATACTAACGCAAATCGTAAATTCAGTTATTTCGGTTTATTGCGATCCAGTCGATACTAAGTCTTTACGATCGTTGGCAGGTTTATTTTCTTGGCGAACTAATAATATTTCGCTTTATACTAGTTACATGTTCACGTGACAATTGACACATATTGATTGATGGAAGCAAAACATAATGGCTAATATATAATCGAATCGTGTTATTTTGCGGAAGTCCATTTCATTTCTTAATGGATTTATATTGTTTGGCTTAATTCTGCTACCATTAGCATGTGTGAGTAGCGTATTCAGTGCGGAATCCTGACCACCGCTACTGGAAGCGTTACGACCTTCCCTATCGTTGATCATATTCTTAGTACGATTACGTAGA